ACTATGAAAGTTTTCCTTTTACTACTTGTTTCAAATTCTAAAACGAATGAATGTTAGTCCTTGAATTCTTTCCATTTTCGTTAATCACAAAATGTAGTGCATTTGTTTCCAATGAGAATACTTCTCAATTTAAAGCTTCTGTTTTAGAACATGAGATATATAAAGGTTGTTACCTGTTTAAGAAAATGTTTTCTTAATTGTTCTAAATACTTTTTAATGTTATATGTTATTTTGGATCTTCACGGGGGATATGGGCTCGTAAAGTGGTTTCTATCTCCTGATCCGCAAGTCGGAGGGGATATAGGACATTGACAGGGAATATGAGCCCATATCCCATGTTAAGCCCGATTTACAATAATATTATACTTGAGTGTCCTGATTTCGACAGTATTATCATTTTTATCTTTTTTTTTCCTTCACATAAGATGTGGGTTCATATCCCCCGTTTAGATAACCAATCAAGTTGCAGAATTAACCGGAATATTTCTCTAGTATAATATATATTTGTATTTAACCCAGCTTCCGTGATATTTATTATAGCTCACCTGACACACTTAGATGAATGACATCCCGCTTTGCATACATCGGTCTGAGATATTCCATGTGAAGCCCGAATTACAATAATATTATTCTTGAGGGTCCTGATTTCGACAGTATCATCATTTTTATCTTTGTTTTCCTTCACATGGGATATTGGCTAATATCCCAAGTTTAGATAACCAATCAAATTGTAGGATTAAACGGAATATTTCACTTCAGTATAATATATATTTGTATTTAACACAGCTTCTGTGATATTTATTATAACTCACTTGACACACTTAGACGAAGGACATCTTTGCATCTAACGTTCTGAGATATTCTCTGTTATATAAACCAGGTGAATATTCTGTATGTGGTACTAAATGATATTCTAAAACCTCTATAATACAAATTATAAGGATTCAATGTGTGCTGTTGTTGTTACGGTGACATCGTATATGCCTTTATCGTTGATACTAATTGATAGCAATAAAACAAAAAACACAAAAAAAAACACCAAAAAACATTTAAAAAATAAAAGAATAGAGGACAAATAATAGAAACAAACAAAAAGAGCCATTACTTAAAAGTTTATATCGACTTGTTCTTATATCTGCCAATCTCGCTTTTAGGTGGGGTTTACAGGGATCATTTTTTAGTTTGCTATGCAGTGTTTTGTGGAATCACTTGCTTTTTCGTCGGTGTTTTGCCATGGCGTTTTCTAGTATCTCTTCGACTTAAGATTATTGAATGTCCTTTTAAATTTTTGATTTAAACATCTTCAGTAGACAAGTAACCGTTTTTGCAGTTACCTATATGTGAAGCCAAACAAAAACTTTTGTAATTGACTCGTTTAGTGTGAAAAAAAGCTAGTACGTTAATCAAGCTTAAATTGGTAACATTCAGGCACGGTTAATGAATAAATATATAAAGCCTTTTTAATTTGTATCAAATTAAGTATACATTCAACTTCACAAAGTTACATAAGCTATATATATGTCTGAAATTAAGTTTCAATTTAAGATCATGTCCACAAAATTAAATTAGGAATGCATGGAATTGCTAATAAACAAATACGTTTATTCTACATGTATTCAAATTTACATTTAAGAATAGCTGTATCACTATTTAATCTGCTTAAAAGATGCACAGATAATCTTGTAAATGCAGCATTTGTTGGTGCAAATACTGTTACTGGATCACCTGTGTGTAAAAATGAAGCTGACATTGACAATGCAAAGCGATTATCATGATTAAGAAATAATTATGATTTATTGGGGAAAAAAACATTCTTTTTGTGTTTGCATTCCGTGCTTAAACAATATCATGTAAATACATTTCATTCCAAGAAGTTTAGGACAAACACAACACACAAAGTAGTAAGGAATCGATGCTTTTTTGTTTATTTATGTTTGTTTATTTATGTAGGTAAAATCTTATTATATATAAGAAAAACGTAAATTGTTATAAGGAAAACATTATACTAAATACACGATAATAACGTTGAATAATTCCTGTAATATTTGCTTTCTGGACTAATGACAATAATGTGGTTAGATCTTTGTTCCCTGATACGAGATCGACAATTCCTCCGGTAGGTGGTATCATTACTGTGTCAATGACATGGACGATTCCATTTGAAGCATTCAGGTCAAACTTTGAGATTTTGGCACCTTCAACTGTAATTGCCTATATGAAAGATGAAATAAGACAAGTTTAAGATTACTCATTTGTAAAGTTATGCAATGCAGTACAAAAGTATTTGGATAAGAGAAACGTCAATAGAATCAAGAAGTTAATTGTTCATAATAAAGATATAAATGCGGCTCACATTGTATTGTAAATAGTAGACAATGATCAGTCTTAAATGTACATATAAACTTAAGGTTCCCCAGCTAGAGAGAATACATTATGTGTAGCAATAGATCAAGGTTTCATTTCAAAATACAGATAAACTCACTACACATTGCCATCACAGTCTTCAAAAAAGATTTAAAAAACATAGACAAAAACCTTATAAACGGATTACACTTACTTTTTTATGCAGACAGCAACCGAGTCAACTGTTAGTTCATTCCGCGCATCTGTGCTCCGTATAACTCCATTTGTCAGGTGATACAGTAACAAAGTGGTAAGAACAGTTTTATCAGAAAGAAGTTCTTGTTTGGTTCCAAATGCATCAAATGCAGCATTTGTGGGTGCAAAGATGGTGTATGTTCCTGAAAGAAAATTACAAACTGGAATAGAGTTTTTTGAAAAATAATTAAGTAGAAATTTTTCTTGTGTTATGCAAACAGTAAAAGTTTACAATATCAACTTGACCACTTGTACAAAGTTTTAACTAATTTAGCAAGAACCTGAATTTCTGTAGAAAAGCAAAAGGATTACAACGAATGGCAAGCAAAATGACAGTAGAAAGACAGGCAACAATAGAAACAATCAAAACCCATAGTAGAAAGAATGATAACAAGAAATTCAAACACAAGCCATAGGCGACAGACGGACAACACTAAACGGAAAATTCAAAAAAGGATGTAGGCAACAGAACTAATAACCTGTCATATTCCTAATTTTGTACATGCATTTTCAGAAGAAAGTTGTAAATTAAAAATAGCTTCATAGCTAGCTAAATGTTATGTATAAGATTTTTATTCGTGTCAGTATCGTAAATGAGACAAGGCAAAACTAAAAAAAGTCATGGCGTCACATTTAATAAGTTATGACATCACAAAAAGCTCTGTAAGACATTATTTGTTGAAGTTTATTAGTTTTGGACTATTTGAAATTGGATTTGAAGCGCGTGGAAGAACAATCTCGCAAATACACATATTAACCCATATATTATGTACTAGTTTCTTGATATATTTATTTTATCTCCTAATATTGTATCAGCTAATCCACAGGCTGTCGCATACTGGATCAGTCTTGACTCGCCATTAGCTTGGAGCACCTCAATCAGGTAACCACATAAAACACAATGGACATCGAGAAAGATGCAACAATACCTAATCATGTTAAGACTTTTTAATCAAAACTGCAGAATTGAAATAAAATTCGTGAATATTTTTGTTTAATCTATAGTAGGGTTGGCTCATTGACAACGTAGGAATTCCATGGTCATTTTGAAATGATAAGATATTGACCACACAAAGTCAAACGTGAGACATTATTGAGAAACAACTTCATTATCAAGTTTTACATAATTCAAAGGTGACTCGGTTTGTATCGAAAATTTCACACAACATGTACAATACTTGGTCATAATCTGTTTCAGTATAATAGGTAAATCCATATATTTCAAGTTTGATATTTTACAGATTTCATACTTATTATCGCCAATCCATCTGAGTATACAGTTATATTGATTTAAGATATGTATATAGATTAAAGTAACAGGATATTGGAAGTATATCTCAAACTTTGTTGAGAAAAGATGTTTTCCTTCAGCACAAGTGGCGGGTTTTGTCATGAATCTATTTAAGTTTTGGAATAAGCGGTGTTTCATACAATTTTACTGGGCATAAAAAAAGGCTTATTATCTCTGTATAATAATAGTCCCACCTTAATAATAAGGGATGGGATTTATTTTATTTTAAAGGCACAATATTTTTTTTGATAGCTGCAGGTGTATTGCAGCAGTAAAACATTTATTTTAGGAAACTAAAATGTTTATATATGATGTTGTAAGGACAGTTTGAAACTAAGCTGGATGCTTTTCTTAAAAGGGGATTAGAAAGGAAAAATCAAATCAAATAATATGTTCAATACATGAACGTGTAGTTTTAAAGAATTAATGTGATGGTGATGATGTCGTTTGTATCTGCAACCCTTTTGTAGCGAAAATTATATTGTAGCTACTCATACCTTAATCCTTAACATTTGCATGGATGAAAATTTTGTTTATTTTCAACAATGGTTGATCTTCCGGATTTCCATGCCTGAAGTTTATTAAACTTGTTTATGATTTACGCATATTTCTTATTTACAAAACCGAATATTAGATGATAAGTTACTTCGTAAGGTCTTGGATATAATTTCAGAATTCTGCAAGAAAAGAAACATGGTAAATTGAAAGGCCAAAATGTTTCACTTTTCGGTTTCAAACGTGGTAAGATTTGTCAGATTGCAATGTGTATATTATTTATATTCTGAATCTGCATTTCGAAATAGACATAAAGCATTGAAAGGTAGTATTGGTAATTACGGTACACAGTAGACGTGTAGTGCACTTGTATTAGTTACTATAAATATTGTTTAACCTCACAGTAAGTTCATGGAGATTTAATTTTGGACACTAGCCTTTAGTTACCTTATATAAATATTATACATTTTGAGCATGGTTATACACGGGATTACATAGCATCGTTACCACGAAAATAATGCGAATGTCATTGTTACATAAATCTAGTGTATAAAAGTCAGAAATAGCTCTAATGTTTCACACTGGAATAAACATCCATCAACTTACTTGTTACAAAATGTTCAAGTATCTTGCTTTATTGTTTGTAGTAGGAAGTGTCTGGTGTGGTAATTTGGTTGAGGTTCTCCAAACTGACGGAGAGAGTAAACTTATAAAATATGTCACTGCTGCTGGACTTGCAGATGCTATACTTGCAGGTTTGTGTTTCCTTTTGTTAGTTTAAGTTTAGTTTCAGCATGTTTATTTGCAAAAGGATATGAATATAGAGTTATTCAAACTTAGAACGTCTTCTCCATATATAAACAGTATATTTTTTTATAGAATGAAAAAAATAAAAATAATCATACCATCTTTGATATTATGATATTAAAGGATAAAAATTAAGAACAGGAAAAACGAAAGAAAAAGAAAGTGATGATAAGAACTGACTTGTGTGTGTGTGTGTTTGTGTGTGTGTGTGTTTCAATTCGCTAGTATTTCACATATCTCATGCAGATCAATTGCATTGAATAAGAAATTTCTATGCAATTTTTAACTTATCAAAAACCTTTTCAAATATGTTTTCTGTTTTTCTTCATACATTCTATTATTACGGTGATTATGATCTTTGTTCAAACTTTCTAGAAAGTGGAATCGTATATACTCCTGTATTGTGTCTTCTCCGTTGACAAGCAAATCGCTATAACTGGGTCCGCCTTTTCTGAAACCTTCGATGTGATTGATAGGTTTATCACTTGTTCTCGTCATATATAAAGGTTTATGAGCATTTCAATCACATGTATTGTTCATCAAACATTTGAAAATAAAAATTAAAAAACCACAAGTCTTTGCTTTGGTATTTTTGAACCATTTTTGTTGTGTAATCAGTACTTATGGCCGTAATGATAAATAAACAAAATAGAAGAAAACAAATTTTTTTTCTATTCTGGTCTTCACTGTTACTTTATATGATTAGTTCCAGTATTCTAAATGATCTTGTTTCATATACATACAATTCATATTCGTGCATTTATCACATAAAATATTGAGTTGCTGTCGCATCGATGTAGAAGCCATTTATGTTTTTATTTATGTGTTTATATAACTCCTCTGAATATTCGGGTTTTTTAATTTATTTTTTTCCGGATTGTATTATACTTATAATCTATGTTCAAAAGTACAGAAATTTCAAACACAAAGAGATTACTTATGCGACAGAATATTAGATACACAGCATATTTTTTATCCTTATTGATACATTTAAGATTGGCGTGAAGACCAATTATATACCTCTTACAAATCTGCTCACATTTTATTTTCAATGAATTTTGGCCAGGAACATACACAATCTTTGCACCAACTAATGCTGCATTTGATGCCGTTGGAACTGAAGCAGAACTTCTTAAGGACACAACAGCTTTAGCAAATATTCTGAAATACCACGTTGTCAAAGGCGCAATTCCAAGTTCAGCCGTCAAAAATGAACTTCAGTTGGAAACATTAGCAGGAACAAAAATTAGATTCAACACATACTCACATAATCATGTAAGTGTTTTAGATGGAGAACATTTTTCATTTTTAGTCTTAATGTAAAGAATTGTTAATTTAAACGTCAACTATCTATTTATTGAACAAAGTATTGCGCATTTTTGTTTACTTGTTAATCAGGAAGAGCAAGTTGTTGTCACACATTTCATATTTGTTTTACTATTTTAGGCTGTAACTATTGAAGGTTCTAAAATCTCCAAATTTGACCTCTCAGCATCCAATGGAGTAGTGCATGTCATTGAAAAGGTCATGATGCCCCCAAAAGGCAACATTGTTGATCTGGTTGTCGGAAACAGCGATCTCAGTACTTTATTGACTCAAGTTCAAAACGCCGAACTTGAAACTGCGTTAAAAGGTATACAGATTTGGCATAACTGTCATGAGACTCTGAGCGAGAACTAGCTGAATTTGTTATTGGTCGATGTGTTTGTTGTATCATGCAACATTAAGATTAACAGAAACAAGCTCTAAAAAGACTACAAAAATTATTTTAAAATATCATATCACCAACATTATTTCAATTATGTTTTTTTTTTTAAATTTACATAATTTATTCAGAATAAAAACTAACTAATGCTCTAAACTGCAACAAAAAAGCAATGCCATCATTCAATTGCCATTTTCCTAAAAACATTCTCCAAACAATCACCGTTTGAACCATTGGGATTGTTTTTGATCGTCCTTCGTGTCGACTTGATTCCAAAACTTTACAAATGGAAGTTATGTGTGAAACAAGATTATGTATGGCGCCCAAAATGCCTAACTGGTGTGACAGTCATTGACATTTTTCTGTTACTACCATCTTTAGTCTTTAGTGTTTAAACAAAGTCATTTTCAGAATTCTGTGTAATATGTTCAAAAGCTTTCCCCAAAACGCCTTAAATGGCTAAAAACGTGATAAAACAAAGATGATGTGATGTTGTTTTCACTTTTGGGTAGGATCAATGAAATTATCAATAGTTCTATAGACTATGAAACAGCGAATCAAAACGAGTTACTTAGTTATATAATTTTAAAGATATGTAGCCATTAGCATACAAAAAATTAAGAATAAATATAATCCCTGAACATTGCAAATACCCACAATGTATATACTTGTAAGATGCATTTTTTTCAAAAAATGTTTTTCTTAATTGACAGGTGATGGATTGACTGTATTTGCACCAACAAATGCTGCTTTTGCAAAAATGGGATCATCAATTCTTGCCAAACTTACATCAAATAAAGCTCTTCTAACAGGTATTACAACCATTCAATGTTAATTAAAATACACCTCAATGTGCAACGAAACCGGTAAAAATCATTACAAAAACTATTCTAGATTGCTTTTCGTTTCAAATATAGTATTTTTCTATGCAGATTATATTTCTAATTTTGCTAATCAATAGTAATATACGTATTTTGCTATCTTTGCAGGAGGCAATGTTTTCCTTTAGAGACAATTCCTATGAGAATTTTTAAGATAAGGGAACATTTTCACACCTGAAGACGTGTCTGCTCATATTGACTTGTTTTGTAAATGTAACTAACTACAAATAGTTTACAATTCTATAACATGCATGTGTACTGATTCATACTGTATATATACAAGGAGATGGGGTGTGATTGCCAATCAGACAACTATCCACCAGAGCTGTAATAAATGGATATAGGCACTTATAGGTCTCCATACGGCCTTCAACAATGAGAAAAACATATGCCGTATAGTGGGCCATAGAAGGCCTCGACATGACAAATTGTGAAACAATTCAAACCAGAAAACTAACGGCGTAATTTATAACAAAACATTTACGAGAAAAAATATGACAGACACGAACAAACGTCAACCACTTAATTATAGGCTCCTGACTTGGGACAGGCACACAAACAATGTGGTGGGATTAAACATGTTTCTGAGCGTTCAACCCTCGCCTCAACTGGGACAGTGGTGTAACAGCACAATATACGAACAACATTTAATGATCACAAACATGTTTTACACCGCAACATTCTTTATCTGTCAGTTCCATGTCAGAAGCCTCTATTTCAGTGGTTGTCATAGCTTGCTGTCTGTCATATTTGTTTTTCTTTTACTTTTTTGTCATAAACCAGACCATTTGGTCTGTTTTATTTTGAACTGTTTAACATGTTTTCATGTCAGGACCTTTTAAAGGACCTTGCTATACGGTATTGGTTTTGCGCATGTCTAAAGGTGCATGATTAACTATAGATGCTTACTTCCGCTTCATTTTGATGTTGGATGGTTGTATAATTGGCAATTTTACCACATCTATTTTTTATTTATATAAATAAAAATTCCTATCGTTAAAGAACTTTCATTAAAATTTCGTGTAAAAAGTAAAACAAACTAGTCATTTTGCATTGTATCAAGTCTTAAGACAAAACACATTCAGAGATTAGTAGGGAAAGTTTTAACAATATATTCATGGTTAACAATAGATATATTTCTTTTAGAAATACTAGAATACCATGTAGTTCCTCATACAGAATACTCAGCCGGTCTGTACAACAGAGAAACATTAGCTACAATTGACAAACACCATGACCGAATTCGACTCGGCACAAGAGGTAACTGATTTTTTTATCATTATTGTCACAATACAATAAAAATTCTAAATAATTGTGAATGTAATTTTTAACAAAGACTAAAATTTGTTAATTTCCATATGAATACAATATATGTAAAAAGTAAGCCTAATCTATGAATGTCGTATTCGTTAAATACGTTATATTTTTAATATATTTAGAGTCAGGATATATATTTTTTGCAAGATGCCTTTGTAAAGTTACCAGTTGTAATATCAGGTCATTTATTTTCAACGTTTTCCTGGATACCTCCAATACAACACTAGAATATTAAATAGTCGTCCTCTTGGTTTCTTCTCAAGCTTGCCCGACAAAGACAATTGTGCTAACAATACAACTTATTCAGTGAAATATTACAGAATTCGTGTCAAATTTGAATTAGAATGAAAGTAAATTTTACCAATGACATTGAATTATGATATTTTCTATAAAGTGTTATTTTCACTCACTGTCATAAACTAAGAATGAAACACCGAAAAAAAGTAAGTGGCTCCACAAGCCTTATCATCCATGTCCTTAAAAAAACATATTTCTTTATCTTTATCCAATTGCTTTCAAATGCAGCGCCAAAACACATCACAAAGTGCTAAATAGTTAAACATTATATTTATTGTTTTAGTAGTATTTTGTATTATTGTATCATTAAACTATTTATTTGATTAAGACTTCACTTCTACTTGATGAACATGTGTGAATATCATGAATTTCCTGCTCCTGAAATGGAAAAAGAACAATAACTATACTTTACTGATTAAATTTCAGGCTCTGTAACTGTGAATAATGCCAAAGTGATACAAGCGGATATTTCAGCAACTAACGGTGTTGTTCATGTTATAGATCACGTTCTAATCCCATTTAGATATAGACTTCAATTTGGATTTGGAAAATAGACAGAGTGTTATGACTATATTTTATGTATGACTTATGAATATGTTTTAAAATTACTTGTAAATTCAAGCACAACGTACAATGATAATATGACAATTGTTGGTTGTTTTGATGCTATAGATTAAAACCTACATTTACTGAAGTCTTGCGTGTTAGCATACTGTTATAACATTTCATACTAAATCATATCCGACTGTTTGCAGTTCTCTGTACGTCTGTTCATACCTGAATGTTTGTTTCATATTTGCACTGACATTGTGGTAATATAATGCATATTTAATTTCACATTTGTAGTTATAAACTCGACAACAGTATGAATGTCGGCTTATGTGGCTTTCTAGTCTAGTAATTTCGTTACCACTTCAATTAAAATTAATTACAAACCAAATACGTACTTTAAGTCATAGGCCTAATCTTTTGCAAATTTCCAATTCCTTTATATTGCTTGAATACCAATATAATAAACAAAAAGCAGATAAAAAAAACAAGGGCCAACCAAACCAAATTAGTTTAAGAAAAAAATGGGGTGAATCCAGGTACTAGGAATGGTATGCAACAGTTTATGTTCAACCAGTGAAATATGTCGTGTTCATTATTGGCAAGTAAAAGCTCGATAATAATTCACAATTTGGAATGACGTAAATTAGAAAAAAAGAGGATCTGACTGATTACAAATAGTGGAACATATGCGTGGTTATTTGTGAAGAATGTATTTTAAAAACAGTTATTTAAAGCAGGATGACGTATGTAAAACGGAATTAAAGGAAAATCCTATCAACTGGCTAATAAAATAGTTTTGTATGCCCCCGCCGTCATCGTTACCCGTTACGTCCCAAAAATGGTTTCCGTTCTCTTACTTTAGTTTGCCTCAACTTAATGTTATGAAACTTATACACAATGCTTATTAGCACAAATACAGATCAAGTTCGAATTTGGGTGGCGTCACTTTTACCATTCTCAAGTTATGCCCCTTTATAACGTTATATGCAAGCGGGGGCATCATATGTGTCCTATGGACACATTCTGCAATTTATTTTACTGATTTTGAAAAAAAAAGATTTCGTGAAGTATTGAATTTGAGAATTATGCACTTAGATCAGTTTTGGTATCAGTTTGTTTTATGAATAATTCGCAGATGTAAAGAAATTAAACATGACAACCATTTATACCTTATTTCAATGAAAAAGTTCAAAGTTCAAGGCTTTAATCGAAATATGTGTTTCAAAAGAGATGAGAACATACAAAGGTGGCAACCAAAGGTGGCAACTGTTCTAGTAAGTCGATTACATATCGGCATAATAACACATAATCAAAACAAAAAGAGAAAAACAGACTAATAGTTATTCACCAACACTACTAAAGAATAATGAAAATTTAGCCACACGAACTATAAACCTGATGGAAATCTGTGATTAACTCAGGTAATCTGGAAAGATTAGCATATTATGTTTAACTAGTGACAACCGTAGCGTTTTCCATGTCATGAGAACATTTTTGATAATTCGAAGTTTCGTGATGTCAAAAACGAAGAAAAGAGGATGGAATTTTTCTACGATACTCGAGGCACATCAGTTGTCATTCTTGACAAAAATATTTCATGATTGTCAACCGAATTATGATGGAGATAGTTAAACTTTGCCACTATTAACTCATAATTTGGCCTAGATCATCACTGAATATACATTTATTGTCCAAATGTGCATCTGGTGCAGAAAAATTGTAAAAAATAATGTTATTTCTACCACTGGATCTGCTGGTGAACTTTTAGTCCCCGTGGGTATCACAGGCCCAGTAGCCAGTGCTTCGCTTATTTGTTTTTTGGATTTTCAAATATTTTGACCTCAAGCATCACTGAAAAGACAATTATTCTCGAAATGAGCATCTGTTAAAATTGGTACCGTTAATGGTATAAATATCTTCCTTGTCAACAACAATCCTCTATGAAAGAAATTATGAAAGGAAACACAAGCTATGGGATAAATATACTCAATATGCGGGATTGTATGTGGATTTTTACTACAAAATGATAAAACATTCACTATGGTAAAGTTTAAAAACTCTTTGTTGTCGTAATATTATCAATTGTATCATTAAATTAAGTGACAGAAAAGAATTCTTCATTCCAAGCATTACATCAGATTGAATTAAGCCTCCATTACATCTAGAAATTGACAATGAGGGTCGGTTGAAATAAAAAACTTTACGACAAAAGAGATGATTTCAGCTTCCCAATTGTGAACTTTAAATTTCTATGTAGCAACATTCCAGCAGCGCCTGCATACGGAGTAAATATTTCACAGTTGATACGATATTCCAGGGCTTGTATTTCCTATCATGATTTCCTTGATCGAGGGTTGCTGCTCACAAGGAAACTATTAAATCAAGAGTTCCAAGTGGTGAAGTTAAAATCGTCCCTTCGTTAATTTTACGGACGCCATCACGAGTTGGTGGACCGTTATGGAATATCCGTTTCACATATGACAACGGGTATTTTCCAATTTTCGTAAACACAATCCCCTCCCCTTTTCCCAGAATGTGACCTCCGAATAAGACTTATAACTGGGTTTGTACTAACATGAGCAACACGACGGGTGCCACATGTGGAGCAGGATCTACTTACCCTTCCGGAGCACCTGATATCACCCCAAGTCTTTTGGTGGGGTTCGTGTTACTCAGTCTTTTGTTTTCTCTGTTGTGTTTTGTGTACTGTTGTTTGTCTTTTTTCTTTTTTAGCCATGGCGTTGTATGTTTATTTTCGACTTATGAGTTTGAATGTCCCTTTGATATCCCTGACCTCTCTTAGTGTCAATACTTATTGTAACAAAGATAAGCTTGAATACAATACAATATTTATTATTGTAAATTATGATAATGGCATTGGTGGATAAATTGTAAATTCAGTGTATGTCAACAAATACAGGTACAGATCCCTTCAATACATCCCAACTACAATAAAGGTTATAGCCTATAGCTGGCCATCTCTGCAAATATCAAGGTTCTCTTTATTTATCTGTATGCGATAATTCTCGTTGAAGGTAAATGACCGACCAAAGTTCTCACATGGTTGTGTACAAGTGATGAGAATGTGATGCAAAACAATATTCATTGTGCAAACCAAACCGGGAAAACACCAATTAATGTACCGGTGTTGCAGCAGTATACTACTGTTGCCTTTATGTTCATACATCACTTCTAATAATAACACGAATCACTAGCCAAATTATGGAAATCAATTAAATCAAATGACATAACATTGGTTCTGATCTAATATAGGGAAGGCTTTGCACGTTTCTAAATGATTTGTAATCGGACACATTTAGAAAGGTTTGTTATTTATCATATCAGTACCGATGTATTGACAACTGTCCTGATGATACCCTCGGGGGCTGAGAATACAGCATGTAGTGAAAAAAAGATCAAATAATTCGTTTTTATAATCATAACGTTTGTTATTTCTACCAGAATTATTGAGATCGGCCAAATGACAAATAGAAAAAGTTGGAACAATGATTAACACTGACTAGTCTAAATAGCAATGAAACAGGAGTTTTCGGTAACATTATTAATGAATTTACATAGTGGCATTCCAAATTATACTTATTTTGATAGGTGATAATCAGGGAGATTTTTGTATATAATTTAAAATAAAATGAACAAGGTGATATAATAAGTGATGTAACAAAAGTATAAAATGTTGGAGAGCACAACTAAAAGGACATAAACAAATCAGTAGAAACTGTCCAAAGTCAACTTTGCATGACAGAGTTGAAATCTAAGCTTATGTACAATTGTATAATTTTAAGTACTGGAAATCTACAGACAAAAGTTATGATTTGATTCATGTCAATACCGAAAAATTAGCTACTTGGAAGATCGTGCCACCAGTGACTGATAGTCAACCAGCAGTGGCACCGACCAAATACAAAAAATGTAGCACTAAAAATTTTTGATTTGAATTACTCGAGCATAACACGCGCTTCTGGAATAGCTTATATTATGTACGCTCGCAACCAAAAATTGTTTAAAGCCAAAAATATAAAATTTTGGAGTGGACAAAACACAAAGATAGTCATGTTTTGACTGTTTTACGCAATGATCAATTTATCTTAACGTGAAAATAATTATCATTATAATCATCGTTGTTATCAATTAAGAACATTTTGTATATAACGACAATGATCATTTATACGACAAAATATGTTATTTGGGAATAGTAATTTGATACAATTAGGTACGTAACATGAATAAAAACTTTTAAATACCACTAACATTTATTATCGTGTATGAAGGGTTCTTTATACCGTTGAGATTAGATATATGGAGTTCCTGTTAAACAAAATGACAAAGCGTCGTTTACTTTTATATAAGAAAACACATTTCTTTTGATCAAATAGCTTATTGTCCATTTGGATTGATGGCGTGTAGTAGAAGAATTAAACTCTTTTCTTCGGTAGACTATCGAATTCTGTAGAAATCTCCGCCAACAGGGTCGCCTAAGTATGTTCCGAGATTAATGCCATGAATGATAAATAAAGGCAACAGTAGTATTGAGCACTAAAGAGCAGTGACATAACAGGGAAAATATAACCACCTACATGAGCAGTTATGATCAGAAACTTGCTGCAAATAGACTTGAATCTGTTGGAACTCGCAGTGAGCTCCCTCCTAGTGAATGCCAATCAATGTATGAGATGTGGCTGGAATTCTCTATTTCGCATAAGTTTTCAACTTGTCATCGAATGTACTTGTAAACAGCAGTAATGTTTGTTTCATGCAAATTCTTTATTGATAATCTCCTATATTAAGAAATGATTAGTTTGAGTTGTCGTCTGTTAATTTTTGATATACTTGAATCTTTACTTGGGAAACATTCCAAGATATATCTTTAGACTGATTAGAAATGGCATATGACTGCTTTATGGGAGTTCAAAGAAACCATTGAAAACCCTGTCCGTAGGTATCGTGCGTATTGTTGCTGAAACTAAGAGTTTTTTTTATCATGTATCAAGATATAATACCAGACAACATGTGATGAAGTAAATAAACAATAATTACATATCAATAACATGAGTTATAGTCGAAACGCATAGCATATCGCCAAATATAGAACAGATGTTACAGATGAACAAAAAATCATGTTTATTACTAACAGAACTAGATGTCAATATATGTGTGTCTTATTTACCATCAGATCGACATATATGTTTTGCACATGTGCGCTGGTGATGCCCATCAGAGAAGAATGGTCCGCAATCAGTAGCATCGTCCAAGTGGTTGTAAAGACTCATAAAAGATATCAAGACTATAATTTAGTACGCCAGACGCGCGTTTCGTTTACATAAGACTCATCAGTGGCGCTTAAACCGAATTAATTACGAAGAAGAGCATTTGAAGCCAAATACAGTCCGGTACACTCTAGGACACAAAGTCCTCATTCATCCGTTTAGGGGTTGAAACTTAATGCATATAAAATGCAAAAGCATTATGACTGTAAGTTTCAATCAATTTTCATTATTCAATCATGTGTTGCAGTCCCAGAAGAAAAAGAAAATTGGGCCAGTAAAGAGAAAGAAAACCTTTAAGTTCTTACAAATATTCAGAATCTGTTTAGATAAAAACTCATTTCTAGTAGTTCTATGTTTATTGAAAATAGAACAAATTTGCGGTAATAAAAAATTACCAGCAATAAACATATTAACAAATAAATAAATATTGCATATATACAATTCAACTTAGTTTAAAAATGCAAAGTTACTTTCCAAATCCAAGGAAAAGCAAATATCTGGCGGGAATAAGAACGTGATCGATGACGTGTACAACTCCATTTGTGGCAGCAATATCAGCCTGTCCTACTTTTGCATTGTTAATAGAGATTCCTCCACCTGAAACAAAAAATATGGCTTTTCTTAAATATTGCTTTTGAAATTATAAGCAGTATGCAATACATTAACGTTCTCCTCAAGTATGAAAACTTGGCAAGTAATTCAATACGCACAGTATTTACCTAAGTAGTACATAATAACTTAAGTATTCCATGATGTGATAGTGTATAAAGCGCTTCAAACATGAGTAATTCAGTCTTCAATAAATTCTATACTTTTATGAAATTATTTGTAGATGATGACGTACAGTTTCACTGTTTTTTGTCTAAATCCGTGTCGTTATTTATTACTTTCTGTCTTATTTTTCATGCATGTATACCGGTTTTATTACCAGTTTAATAATATTTGATAAATCACACGTTGTTAAATTTATCTCCTGTAATTTTCTGTCACATCAATTAATAACATTGAAATTTATATTTTCCATTAAATCATTAAATAAAGAAATTCTACCTCTTTACCCCGTTAACTACAATATTAATCCACTCTCGATAGGTAATTTTTCAATTTTTAGATGCTCGCATTATAAAGTTTGAAAATAGAGTATTTCGTAATAAATAAACTCATCATAGAGACCAGGATTGAAATTTAGCATTTGCGCCAGACGCGCGTTTCGTTTACAAATGACTCATCATTGACGCTCGAATAAAGAATAGTTAAAAAGGACAAATAAAGTACGAAGTTGAAGAGCATTGAGGACCAAAAATTCCTAAAAGTTTTGCCAAATACAGCTAAGGTCATCTTTTCCTGAGGTAGAAAAAGCCTTAGTATTTCAAAAATGTAAAGTTTTGTAAACAGTTAATTTATAATTATGACCATATCAATGATAATTCGTGTCAACACTGAAGTGTTGACTACTGGGCTGGTGATACCCTCGGGGAATGAAAACTCCACCAGTAACGGGTGTCGTTGTAGAATCTATATATATCGAAAATTCGCAATATAATATAACCGAAAGTCCTTACCATAAGCATGTACACGAATGGTGTCATGGTGTTTGTCCAGTGTTCGTAAAAATTCCCTGTTGTACAGACCAGCTGAGTATTCTGTGTGTGGTACTACATGATATTCCAAAATTTCTACAAGGTAGAACAGTATATATAATATTTTGAAAAATTGAAATACATCATAGTTTTACAAACAAGTTTATGTAAGCACGAGGAGACATCGATAGTTTTAAAATGTAATATTGTGAGACGGTCAGAAGATGTCAAGTTGGACTATTTTCTATTAAATATCATTTGCCTATATCGTTCTATAGAAATGTACTTCAAAATTAACTGTTTTCGGATCTGAAAAATTCAAGGGACGCACGAAGTTTATAAAGTGTTATTTTCATTTAGGAAATAACATATTAACCACGCTAATGAAAAATACTTTTCTTTTAAGGGCGAGACATAAAATACTTATGTTCTTGAAACATTATCAATTCTACATTTAAGTGGAGAATGTTTTTTTATATACCCTTTATCGATATGTCTCTACTTATGCAGTATCTATTATTGAGTAGGAACATACCTTTTAGAAGACCTTTATTTGAGGTTATTCTGCGTAAGAGAGTGGATCCTAGTCTTGCAAAAGCAGCGTTTGTTGGTGCAAAAACTGTCAATCCATCACCTGTTAATTTAATTAAAACGAAATAATAAAAACTGTGTAATAGTCAATATACAAGTATGAGAATAAAGGAGATGAATTCAACTAGACGACAAACCACCGTCACAAAAACTCATAAGACATATAAAGGTTAACATTACAGTATTTAAGAATAGAACATGCAATATGAAAATCTCTAAATCACCTTTGGTATAGAAAAGTTGTGTGTTATTATATATAGAGCTATCAAAATATTTGTCATCTACCCCATATTCCCTTAAGGACAAAACATTAAAATACAAAAAGTTAAAGACAAACACTCACCTGAAACTAGCACATCCATTTATCCAATTTAAGCCATGTCACTTTTTGTCCTCATATATCGAAAACCTGGTTTTAAATCCCTTACATTTAAGCTATTAAAGAGCTATTGTCAATCTATAATACGACCACACTCAATCGCATTGTAGAAGTTTGAACAATACACATACCTTTCAATGCACTTGCAAGTCGAACATCCTGAACCTGGGCTAACAGTGTGCTGAGATCGTGGTTTCCAACAACTAAATCTACAATATCTCCCGTTGGTGGCATCATGACCTTCTCAATGACATGGATTATTCCATTTGAAGCAGAGAGGTCAAATTTTGTTATCTTTGAACCCTCAACGGTAACAGCCTATAAGATGAAAAAGATAGGTTTATAGATACTTGAAATTTAAACTTCATTTGTTTTCTGTTCAGTGTTGTATAGGCCGTCGTTTGTCTGTTTGTTGTTTTTCTATTGGTCTTTGTGAACGTCAGCTTTTCTTTGACTCATGGTTTTTGATTCCCTTTTTCATATCTTCTCACCAATTTCAAGAGTAAAAATACGTAAGTATCAGCAAAACTGTCTGTCTATACAATTTGTTATGTGCTTTGTTATAAATAGTGGTTTCAGATCAGTTTAAACTGTTAAAGAATTATTTACAATATTTCTATAGAGGTTAGGGGTGTGTAAAATGGGGTTGGTTTATTCATAAACTAAATAACAAACTTTTATCAGAGTTATCTCTCTTAATATTTTATTCGTTTTTAATCAATCCGGAGTGTCTACTTAATTGTTAAAATGTGCATGATTATATATGTTTGTACCATAAGAAAAAGTAACAGGAAAATTTAATTTATGATAAGATTCAAGCACAAAATACATTTCTATATTTAATTACACCTTATGTAAGAATCCTGGGTTTTGATTGGTTGATAGCCAGTGTATTTTTCACCAATTTACTGTTATCAAATGAATATCGTTCATTTTGTAACGCCGCCGGGGTATATACAAAAAGGATATGCCTTTTTTACCCTCTCTGTCATGGTATTTGCCAAAAAATACTCTATCCGACTGGACGCTTGTAACGTCACGACCATCAATGCGTTTTTGAACGTTAACATTCGGTGTAATTAAACAGATATAGCATGTTCTTGAGGGGTATTTGCGAAAAATACCAGTCTTGAGAATGAATTTCCCTCGCCTTACGGCTCGCGAAATTTAACATTCTCTCGACTGGTATTTTTCGCAAATATCCCTCCTTAACATGATATATCTGTTCAAAAACTTTGCTTAAATATCGATACAGAAAATTTGCGATCCAAAATGGTGACCACAATAATATACATATGTACTTCCATTAATATTAAATTTAATTTGAGTACGATCATTATCAATCCAAACAACTGAATAAGCAGCTACGACATTAAACTAGAGATTATGACATCTTATTGTAGAACCTGAAAATATCTTATTTTTTTAAAGTGTTCTTACATGATTATGTGAGTATGTATTGAATCTGATCTTTGTTCCTGCTAAGGTTTCTAGTTGAAGTTCATTTTTGACTGCTGTACTTGGAATTACACCTTTGACAACGTGGTATTTCAAGATTTCTGCTAAAGCTGCAGTATCTTTCAAAAGTTCTGCTTCAGTTCCAACGGCATTAAATGCAGCATCAGTTGGAGCAAAGATTGTGTATGTTCCTGTACAAAATAAAGATTCTCTTTTAACACATATTCTAATGAATACATTGCTTTTTGGTAGTGTAGATAATACGCCAAACTGGTTGCCTGATTGCGATGCCTTTTTGTTTGACTTAAATTTCTTTAAAAATTATCAATCATTTATATTTCTTATCGAACAGAAATACAAAACAAGTAATCTACATTTACGATGCATTTTGTCTCCATTATAAATTCAATTTATTAAAAAATAATCAGCATATCTCATAATGAGAATTATCAATCATAAGAATTAATGGAAGATATAAATAACTCTTGTAAATTTAAAGATACCTTCTGTTTAATGCAGAGTATTTTATTTCGAAGGTTTGATATAATAATTATCATTATCTTGGTTAGAGCTTGACGTTTTGACAAATATAGATTCTTACATTGATACCAGTGGATTATCGTATTTATCCAATCGAGATAGTTAAATTATCAATTTTAAAGTCTGAGCCTTGGCGAGGACTTTAAAATTTATAATTTAACTATCGAGATTGGATAAATTCGATAATTCACGAGTAACTATGTAAGAATCTGTTTCTCTAATGATTAAAAAATACATTTTCATTTTTTGTTAAACCAAAACCCCCTTCGAGTGCCTTCCACATTTCACAAAGTTGTCAATTTCATTAACACCTGGGGCGTGTTTTTTTGTTCTTCGGTAGTGAGCCAGAAGAGGTCCATTTCTGTTTTTTTGCATAGGGAAGATCTTCTGGCCCTCTTCCACCTCTTCGTTTTTGATAGGTAGTTTAGACGGCAGAGGCACATAACAAACATGGCGTCGTTTAGTCTAAATGACATTAATAAATTTATGAATGCAGATATATTGGAATGTGAGCTGTGTTATAAACGTTTTTATGGTATGACAGTCTTAATAGGACATCCCTGTATGACGATAAGCTGGATAAATATAAGAACTACACGGACAATAAAAGTTAAGGGACGACTATTTGATATTCTAGGGAAGGGATTTTGATTGATTGGTGTTTAACGCTACTACACTAAGTTGGGCTATTCCGTGGTGGTCAGTTTAAATTTATAGAGGGCATTATTAACATTTTTAATCTGTCGCTTATTATGCATATTTTTCAGCTCTTAATTACCAGCCCACCCCACTAAATGAATGAATATCAAATGGTTTTTCTTCTTATTTAACACAAGTTTAATTGGTTGATTGTTTGTTGCTAATTATAAACGCCCAGTGACAAATATGTCATGCATGTTCAGGACTCGGTTCAAAACACGAGTTTAAAAGTCAGGTAAATAAATAAAAACGAAGAAATGTATGATTGCTAATGAGGCAACTATCCACCGGAGTTCAAATATGAAGTGGATGTAAGCAATTATAGACAACCGTAATTAAGGCCTTCAACAATGACAAAACCCAATACTGTCAAAAGGCCCGACGTGAAAAGTGTGCGAAACAATTCAAACGAGAAAACTTACGGCCTAATTATACATAAAAAAATAATTTACAAAATATCAAATATGAGTCGAGACATGAACCAACGACAACAACTAAACTACAGGCTCCTGACTTGGGATAGACACACACAGAATATGGCAGGGTTGATATAAAAACGAAGATTGCCAATGAGACAATCCTCCAGAAGAGACCAAATGACACAGCAATTAACAGCTATAGGTCACCGTACGGCATTCAACAATAAGCAAAGCCCATACCGCATAGTCAGCTATAAAAGGCCCCGAAATCACAAATGTAAAACAATTCAAACGAGAAAACTAACGGTCTAATTAATGTACAAAAAAAAATGAACGAAAAACAAATATGTAACACAGCAAAAAACGACAACCACTGAATTACATTTGACTTTGACTTTGGACAGAGCATACATACAGAATGTGGCGGGGTTAAACATGTTAGCGGGATCCGGCCCAACCAGCCCCCTAACCTGGGACAGTGGTGTAACAGTACAATAACATGTTTGTGAGCGCTTAACCCTCCCCGAGGCTGGGACAGTGGTGTAACAGAACATATTCGAGACAAACATTGACGAATTTTTGTGCAGTTTAAGATTATTCTTAAAAATCAAATAGTGGGGGTTTACGCCTGATTTGTCTAGCAAAATTGAGTTAGAGGAAAGAACAAAGAAACATGTCACGAACAGAGCACACTTTTACAGTCATGTCTACCGGACGTATCTTAATTTTCTATAAAATCATCGTAAACTTCATTTAATATGTCATCCAACATAACAAAAATCTGCTATATTCGACGGCAAATTGAATTTTTGTTTTATTGATCTTCCGTAGAATATCTCCAGGTTATCTCCAGATTCATTTTTTTTGGACTCTTCACCAGAAGACATTCTGGAGATGTGCAGAATAGACCAATAAAACACGCCCCTGTTAGCATATTTTGAGCTGATAAAGGTTATGACCCTTAAATTCATCCAATCATCTTCTGAGATCACCGGCAACCACACGTTGATTAATTTTTTTTTATACAATGAGTGCAGAAAGGTATAAATTGTCAAAGAATTAGAGAAACAATTTTAAGCTTTTCTCAAGTCGAAGAATATAGAGGACTACCTATAACACTATATTTGTTTTGTCATTTTCTGCGAAGCTTATGTATCATCTCTCACCAAATTAAATAATTATGACCTACATTATCAACGTAAGTTAGTTCTTCGTTTTAGCTTTACAAATATAAACGTTATGTTTAAACTGTGTTAAAAGTAAGATATAATTCTTGAATTCAAAACTATTGTATATTTTACTTAGGCATTTAACTTTATAGGGATCCATATTTTCAAAAAGAGACAGCTGAGTAAATCTTTAGCTTCGAAATATACATGACGATGAATGAAAATGCAAACAATATATACCTGCAAGTATAGCATCTGCAAGTCCAGCAGCTGTGACGTATTTGATGAGTTTGCTCTCTCCATCAGTTTGGAGAACCTCTACCAGATTACCGCACCAGACACTACCGACTACAAACAACAGACCAAGATACTTGAACATTTTAGTATTTACAGTATATCAACTGTTCAGTTCCAGTGTTGAAACATAGGTTAAAAACTGACTTTTATACCATCAATTTATGTAATTGTACCACACATGCTAAAATAAACGTGGTAATCATGATATTCGATCACGTGTTTGACCATGCTTGATAAGACAAGTTTTGTATTAATGTTTGTATAAGGTGACCACTAGATTTTGACCGAAATTCGGACTAGCTGTAGAAATCGTAGGTACATTTGTACCGTAAGAATGTTATCAAATCATAAAACAACTTAATCACTGATCCTCAAATGTCCCCTAAGCTGTAAAACACTTTTATATACTGATCCTCAAATTTCCCCCAAATAATAAAGCACTGTCTTATATACAGATTCCCAAATTCCCAAATTCTCAAAATCAATAATGCAATGTCTAACATACTCAACCTCAAACCCCTACACTATCAAACGTTTTATCAATAATGATCCTCAAACTCTCAAAACTATGAACTGTAAACACTATCAATGTAGATGCTCATTATCGGAATTAACAACACAATACGTAGAATTACTTGGAGGTGCTTCAGATTTTATTCAAAATTTGAACTCTGACAACTGGAAATATGTGAAGTGTTGCTTAAAAGATCATATGTTATGCATGTTTGTGTTTAAAACCACTTTCAGATTTTATTGTCGGAGGAAGCCAGAGTGCACCCAGTGAGACCCACCGACCTTCGGCAGGATGACTGGCAATCTTTGTCAATTAAGATTGGAGTCTACAAAATATATTTAAGATACTATAGGCCTATAATTTTGTACGTCAAACAGAAGTTTCGTCTACAAAAGACTCATCGTTGACGCTTGAATCAAAAGAGTTAACACACATCGCCACGAACGGGTCGCAAACTCACAACCTCAGATGTAACAGGCTAGGCATCACGCACGGAAGATGAACTACTTAAACCACTCGGCCAATGAGGCCCGGATCAAAAGAGAAGAGGCATTAAGGCCCGGTTTTGACTTAAGAAAATAAACATTTTGAGATCTTTTTCAAATTCCACATAATGTTTGGAAATGCATAAGATCAAGAAATATAAATGAATAACACAAGATTTTTTTTATGTTAACGTCATAATATTTACTTTTTTCATGAAAACGAAAAAACCTGAGGAATTTATGCAGTTTTCCGTCTTTTTAGTCTTTGGGAAAACATCTTGCCCAGCCAAGAAACAACAAAATTATATCGGAGAAGCTTTATTAAACTATGATAGCTATTTATATAATCTCCTCGAATTTAAAGTTGCATGATTCTTGAGTGCGCACGTATTTTGTCAATCCACTATGTACTAAAAACTAAAAGTTGATGTATCACCAGGGAAAAAATCAAGACATTATACAAAATATACAAATTTCGTCATGGTCTGTTGCCATTGTAACTCGTTAAATTTGAATTAAGTTTTTAATTTTCTGAACACCTTTTAACTTGGTGTATTAAGGAGAAGTTTATGAACACGTATGGTAAATTTTCAATTTGCACTAGCATTTGAGCTAAATAAGGGCCTTATTGCCCTTTTTCTTGAATTTTTAATCTGTTTCCACATAAATTTAATTTTGTACATTGAAATATTAATCATCAAACAAATATATATAGATTTATTTTTTTTTATTGGCTTTGCATATTTGTATTAATATTGTGTTTTGTTCTTGGAGTTGGTATTAGCACTTGTGTTATAAAAATGTAAATTTTCAGCCCAATGGAGGAACTACAGAGAATCAATCAACGTGAGCAAAATTATAAAATTATCTAAACTTTATACAACGTGAAAGGACGAACATGATCAACATGTGAAGGAATGGTCTGGACAGAAACATCGGTATTTGGCACGTGACCTGACATGTTATGATAAGATGAATAACGTGTGAAGTGTTTACTTAGCATATATAAGAGAATGATAATCCCTTTCTTCATGATTAAGTACGAGCGTTAGCGAGTACTTATCAAGATGAAAGGGATTATCATTCTCTTACAAACTTAGAATATTGTAAAGTGCTCAAGGCTCAAATGATCTCTTGATTGGTTTTATTCAAGAATTTGTTTCATTGTCAGTGCACTGTTAATTAATGGATGACTTCCCTTTTAGGCATTTCATTTATGTATTGGTCTTAGTGATGTAAGGACTTACTTTTGATTTGGGAAATTTTAATAAATTGTGTTTTAGACATTAGTTGCTACAACGTTACAATGAAATTGTAGAAATTGTATAAGTTTCATAATTGTGAGTATGAGTGTAAATTATGTAATATTTAAGTGAGAAATTATCTTTTTGTTTATTTACAGTTCAATTTAATAGATGCAAAATCAGAGTTACAACTAAATTGTATTCCACAGCCAATTTTATTCCAGCTCGTTACATTAGATACTACTTAATTAACTAAAATTTAAATGTTGTAAGAAATTGCTTTTCATAGTAAATTCAAAAGTAAGTACCGGTATTTCGAAAATGACTATTCTTACTAACTGCGAATACAGTAATCTAAGTTTTGAAAAGCGTAATACATGTAGCTAAAGATTTAGGTTATATTTAATTCTAATTTTTTGAAAGTTTTTGTATTTGTTTTTCTTCTTGATATTATGTTTTTTTTTTTTTGTAATTTGAATGTTCTAACTATTCACATAATAACACAAACGGTATCAATTGTACTGCAAAAGTAAACCTCAAACTTATTTTGATAATTTTTGTTTGTTTCAAAATTCAACTTTCAATCAATAATCCTTATGAATGTCCTTCAGGCAGTTGTAACTCATTTTATAGAAATTTTTTGTTTTGAACTGTAAATAGGCCTTAACAAAAGGATAATCCCTTACTAAGAACATGATTTACATTCATTCTTGACAATTAAGGAACACCAAATTCTACACTTTCATTAGTCGAGAGCACTTTGCTATATCTTAAAGCCATTTAGTTATTATGAAAGTTTATTAAAAGATCACTTAAGACCTCTTCATATATTTAGTATAAAAATAATTAACCATGATTTTAAACATTTGCATGTGTATTTTATACAAGTTGTACATAAATTTGGATGTTTTTGTAATATGAATATGCCTATTCGAAGTTATAATCTAGTTTCTGTTAACTATTTTCTCAATTTACAACATATGCCACAAATACATTCAGAATAAAGAATTTTTATGTTAACGATTATAACTTGAAATCTTATATTTGAGTTTTTTTTTAATATGTACTGTGTCCTACATCTACTTGAGACAAAAGGTCGGACCAACTATAAAGTATCAAATTTTACACCCCCCCCCCCCCCCCGACCCCCTCTCTTCTCGTGGCATTGACAATTTCAAAAAGTTCTAGAATATTTTCTTCTTGGCAGCATTGCACTTCCATTTTGATACTACGAGATACTTACAACATTATACAATATGTTAGCTCATTTATAATTCAAAACTGAAATTGCGACCCACTTTGGCAAACAAAGCAGACAGTATAAAGTTTTTAAATACTGTTGACCAGCTGATCCAAGTATCGGATATTTTAGAAGGAATCGTTGAATATTTTCTGATAGGATACAGAGCGGGATGTCATAATAAGACAAACATTTGTTTGAATCACTGTAGCTTTATGGGACCTGTTTGAATTCGAGCTTTTACACTGACTGATCTTTTTACATCGTATCTGGTTTTGGTAAATATATTGTACAGACTGGATGACGTTGGCCAATCTTTAAAGAGTGTTTTAAATATATATATATATATGTTATTAAAGAAACTATTTGTCTGCTTACCTGCTGATTTTCACAGAATTCAGAAACTTACTCAATTTACTCCAAGTTGCAGTAACTTTTTAATGGTAAATTGTTTTTATGCGTAACTGATATACTTCTATTTATGAATCATTTAAAAAAACACTTGAAATAAAATACCTGATTTAAATGAATCTGGGGTGTACATGAATTCTTGAGTATTTCTAGATACAACGGTCGGATATAGTGCCCTTAGCATATATCAAATGATCTGCAGAGATGTTTTATTACAGTTGAAATATAATATTTCCAATCGCTTTTTCTTGTATATTCTATCCCAACATAATCTAATTTTGGATGTAACACGTCTTATGATTGGCTGAGAGTTTTTGTCTATCAGCTCATAGACATAATTTTGTCATATGACCGTGACGTCATCAACGTTTTTTCATGATTTACTCCTCAAAATTGGAATTTAGAATTAAGGTATAAGAAATGACGGGGATACTGTTTCTGTCTATTCGAAATAACCTCAAAAATGTGGTGAACACTTTCAAATAACCTGCGTATAGAGTGAGCACCACGTTTTTTGAAGTTATTTCTTCATAGACAGGAAAAATATTACAGTCATTTCTTAGTTGAAAAAAGGTTGCAGAGGTTTGTTGGAGTCTCCAAGATGCTCTTCTACAACAGTCTATATTAATTTGCACATATTTGAATAGTTATTGCCATAAAAGTTCTCTTTTAGTAGAGAAAACTGCCTGTATAATAACTTGCGAAATTAAGCCTCTGATCTATCGTCGGGGGAATGTAAATGCCTTATTTCATGTTGAAGTGATGTGAAAATCCCCACCCAAATATGCAGTTAGTCATATTTACAATCGATGGCTACCGAGTAAACTAGACTTTAAAAAGGTTATTCGTTTGTGCAGAGATTTCTAAGTTTTGTGGTAATTTCAGATTTGTGTAAATAAAAGTTTCATTAGTCACAAGCAACCATTCATATTAAATCATTGTTAGCAGAGTTTAGTCAACCATTCGGAAGATGAACAACTATATGAACCATTGATAAATTACCTTGGTGAAATCATAATCAGGGGGGTCTCAACATGGGATTTTGGGTACAGTTGTGCAGCTGGGATTTAAAAAAACACCCCCCATTCATATATTGAAATATTGTGAAATCCCTACCTATACATATATTTCACAGCGAAATCATAACCCATTCATATATTCAATAAGTGCAAAAGATTCGATATGTGACCTTTTTTTACTATACTCTAGTGGGTAAAGATTATTCATTGTGACAGTGTAATAAAATTTGATCAATAACAAAATTTGTATCAATAAGTTTCAGCAGATGTGGAAATTTGAATGACAAAGAGTTTGGGAAATTCAGTGAAGATCGTTGCACAACAAACTGAAAAATTATGACCCATTGATATATCACAATTGGTCAATTACTACCTATTGATATATTTCCTCGGTAAAATTGCACATATTTGACGTATCAAAAAAGGGACCCATTCTAGCGGCACATATGTATATACCTTCATATAGGAAGAGACCCCCCGTGATTTAAAAACACCCCTTTTCATATATAATTGAATAAATAAATATTTACACTAAAAAAAATAAACACACAAAAAAGAGAAAAGGGGTGCATGCCCAATTACCTGTGGATGACAAGATATAAAATATTTTATTGTTTATTGTTATAATCCCATGTTGCTCCGTGTGGGCTCATTAATATTTGGAATATAGTATATTGTGTTCTATTCTTTTCTATTTTAAAAAAATTGGTTACTTGTCAGATCTCTGAAACGGAAACGGAAGTGCTTTCTAGGTTACATGACGCCAAATCTAAGACGAACTACCACTGGATCTATATTCTTCCTTGTTGTTTGGGCTAATGCACTGGTATAATTTTAAACCTTTCCAAAAACCTCATCTTACGGTCTCCGCCTCACCACACTTTTTACTAGTCCTATAAAATAATTCAGATTCCAATACAGTGATTTTCCCCTTTTTCTATATATTTGCTTTTGTTTACAATACAAATTCATGTTCCAGATATATAAAAAGAAAAAATCCTAAATATACTTGAACGCAAAAGATTGGAAGATTTGTCAATGGAGTCTTACATTATTAGAGAACTATTTTGTCTGGACCTATTCATAGTTTTAACCATAGAATAGAATAGAAAATTTTATTTTAAGTCGTGTTTGACTTTCTTCTTCTTTACCTCGTAAAATTCCTCCGCATCGGAGCACCCGTATCACACGTTAGTAAAATCTAAAAACCTTATCTTTAAATTATTAAAATTAACATAAAAGAAAAGGTGGTAAGGGGATACAGCAGATCATTATCTTTTTAGTATGAGTATACTATAGTATAGGTTAGAGTCTAGAGAGATATTAGGTATGGTAAGATATTTTAAAACGATGCTAAAAAAAACTAAATTAAGTAAAATTTGTGCTCAAAAATTTACAGTGGGAATATTTACATCAGTAGATTTAATTGCATTAATTACATGTATAAAGTAACTCGTAAAATTTATAAGTAACTCATTTAAAAGTAACTCAAACCCTAAAATTATTACGATTAGATGTAAAAAATAGTAGCTTCTACAGGTTTGTACATGATACATGTAATAGTGTCCTCAACCTATGGTCCTAATCTTATTTTAGATTCTCAACCCTTATCTGATATATAATTTCAATAATTAAATTCAATAAAATTGAGAAATAAAATTTAAAATATACAGCCATAAGAATTTGTGCCCATTGGGTTAAGATCACTTTATATAGTCTTAATCTTCTTTTGCATCAATATTCTCTGAGTATGGAGTCCATAGCACAGATTTCTACTGAGTTTTTCTATTTGAATTCTTGTCTCAGAACTAAAATTCATTTCTTGGACCAATGTTGTGCAGTCTATAATTATTTGTATAATTAAAGTCTGGTTCCCTTTGAAAGTTTCATTCCATTTGTTATATCCTACAGACTGTATGATGAGATTTTTCAGCTATGGGAAAGTTTTTTGCTGTTTTTCATTTAGAGCTGGACACCTGTCAGAGTAAGAAGTGTTCTAGAGTTTCTATTTCCAGATGACACAGAGTACAATTTGCACTTTCTTGTTCCCTTTTGAATTTCTGTATGTCACATTCTAAAAGGTATGTACTGGTTAGTAATCTGGCTTTGGTTTGTGCCCTTTTTACCTCGTATGTAACTGATGGTAAGGAGTTCCATACATGAAACATTACAAACATAAGCTGTCTAGAGCTTTTTGCCGACAGCAGTCAACCAAGAACTAAAGAATGCACTATATTTACACAAGAAAAGGAATGTCCTGTGGTTAGAGATTATACCAGTTATGTTAACATTACAATCAAGTCTGGATAATCTGCCCTCCAAATAATTCTGTTTATTTCAATCTATGACATCCATGACATCAATGTTCATAATAAAAAATACATATGCTATAGTTTGGACCAATTTCCCAGAAATATATATCATTCAAAGAATACATTACTTAAAGAATGTAAAGAATGTAAAGAAATGGTAATTTCATTTTCATATGGATGCTTATGCAATATGCTTTCATTCAAAAATGGTATTATAAAAATACCGAAAAATATGGATACCCCTGATATCAGGCCATGCAGGCTGTTTAAATATCAGCATTTACAATGTAGTATGTTTATTTCTATTTCAAAAATGATTGTGCTTTGCAAAAGACTGGATAAACAATTTTCTTTCTTCTTTAATAAAAAATCAAACTTTTTTTTACAATTCATAAAATTACATGAATTAGCATCTTGGACAATGTTGGAAAAATATGAGTTTTTAATTATTTAAAAAAATGTTGTTTTCATTTTGTAAAAATTAATTTTCTAAAGAAATTAATCTTGGTAGTAGTTGTAATTGGCTTTAACCTTGCTTACAATACTGTTATTACTCTTCGATTGATACATTGTGTCTTTTGTTAATGTTTTTTATGCTAACCATGGTTTTCTCGTTGATTTGTTTTTCTCTTCTCCAGGCCTTGAAGAGCTGGCTTTGCGGTATGGGTTTTGCTCAATGTTGAAGGCCATTCAGTGACCTGTAGTTGCTTACATCCACATCCTTTGGTCTCTGGTATATACATGTAGCTGTCTCATTGGCAATCATGCTACATGTACATCTCCTTTAATTTTATGTATTATAGGATCCATGAAGTCATGATGAATGTAGGAATAATTTAATGAAAAAGCCACTTCTAAAAGTAGTCGAAAAAAAACAGTCTTACATAGTACATACCCATGATAATAATAATAATAATAATAATAATAATAATAATAATTCTTTATTTAAAGAGGGTTACACAGTTAGCTATAAAACTAATCTTCCCTGAGGCCCTCATGAAATACAATGAAATGTAACAAACAATTACAAAATATGGAACAAACACACATATACATGAAAAAATTAAATAAAAAATTGTTATGAAATATACAATTTTCAAAACAGGTAAAAATTACAAATTCATATAATATTGGCAACATTCAAATTACCTCACCAATATCTTAAGTTTGAGTAAGTGTATGAAAATTATTATGGATATAAAATTACATAGCTTCTTAATGTTCCATTCCAACAAGTAATTTTTTCAATCTTTTTTTAATGAGCTTGTACTTGAGGTTGATTTTTTCAGGGATATTGGTAAGTTATTCCATAAAATAGATCCTGAATATATAAAAGATTTCTTATACAGCTCTGTTTTGGCTTTTGGAACTTGTAAATTTTTGCAAGACGCATTCCTCAAACAATATTGGTTGATTTCTGTCATTTCTTTAAATTTTTCAGTGAGATATACAGGGGCTTTGTTCTTTGAGGCATTTCTGCATCAAAACAGATTTGTGGTATGAGATTCTGTTCTCTACTGTCATCCATCCAAGCTGTTTAAACAGTGGAGCTGATGATGAAAGTGGATCAGCATCTAAAATAAGTCTTGCAGCCCTTTTCTGCAATTTAATTATTCAGACAAGTTCATTTTTAGCACAACCACTCCAAATAACACAACAATAATCTATCAGTGGGAGAATATAACCATTATAAAATAATTTTCTTGAATCAATATTTAGAAATTTCTTGATTTTAGAGAGTAAATGAAGTCTAGATGATATTGATGAACATAAGTAATTAACATGGCCTGTCCAGGACAGATTAGAGTCAATTCTAACACCTAAAAGTTTTTCAATTGATGATTTTTGAAGAATATTATTCTCAATAGTTAGAACTGGTTCTGCTTGATTTAAACGCAGCCTTTGTCTTGTACCTATAACCATACATTTTGTCTTATCCAAATTTATGAACATGTTATTTTCATGACACCATTTTTCAACACATTGGAGATCATCTTGTACTTTTAATTGCATATCAGCAATACTCTTTCCTGATGTATGCATAGTTGTGTCATCTGCATACAAGACTGTATGGCAGTTTTTGATGTGTAATGGAAGGTCATTTATGTACAAAACAAACAAAATGGGGCCAAGAATTGAGCCCTGTGGAACACCAAAAAATATAAAATGTTTTAAGAAAACTGATTATTTATATGGACTTGCTGTGTTCTTTCACTCAAATATGATTTAAAAAAATCAACAGTATCTTCATGGAAGCCATAAATTTGAAGTTTTTTACATAAAATTTCATGATCAACAACATCAAAAGCTTTCTCAAAATCCAGGAGGACTGCCAAATTGATATTTCCATTTTTCATTTCATGTAGCCATTTATCAATGATATTAATGAGGGCAGTTTGACATGAATGGTTAGGTCTAAAACCAGACTGGGAAGGGTGTAAAATTTGAAACTTTGTCAAATAATTATACAGATGTTTAGATACATGTCTCTCTATTAATTTTGATAATGTTGGCAAAACAGATATTGGTCTGTAATTGCTTACTACGTTTTTTTCACCAGACTTGAAAATTAGAGCTACCTTGGCATTTTTTAAAACAGATGGATAAATACCAGTATCAATCATTCGATTAAAAATGTATGTTAAGGAAGGTGCTATGAAAGGAGCACTCAGTTTTAAAATCTTTGGACCTATATTGTCAGAACCAGAAGATGTCTTAACATCTAGTTTAATTATTTCATCAAATAGTTCTGAAACTTTTACTGGAGGAATGATGAATTTATTGTGCCTTTTTTCAAGAATTTCATTTGTACATAGTTTGTCAGAGTATTAAAATTTGAGTTGCTTGGTGCCCTGCTATGCCTTAATTTTTCAACACATGAGGTGAAATAATTATTGAATGCATTAGCAATTTCTTTATGATCTATAGTTTTATGGTCTCCAGTTGTAATAAATTCATGTGGTTTTGATGGATTAGATGGATTTAGACTGTGAATACATTTCCATAGTGTTTTAGAATCTTTTGAGTCTTTAATCATATCATTATAATATTTCTGTTTAGATGTATCGATGATATGTTTTGTTCTGTTTCTCCAGAATCTATATTCAGCCCACATTCCCAGTGAATTATATTTATCTCTCATTTTTCTTGCATATGAGATTTCTTTATATGCATCAACATGATCAAAGTCATGGTCAGTGACCACAGTAGAAAGCTAGCAAAGTTATATAACTTCTGAATGCAAATGATATGCAAGATTCATATAATGCATGTACAAATGTATTTAAGAAATTGACTATATTGTCAACAGGACATTATATAACTTGTAAATAAAATCAATCTTGTTTAACGTGATTTTAATTTTGTTTTATTTACATGTACAATGAAGATGGAAGATGGCAGACCAAAATGATAGTGATTCAGACTGGGACAGTACTCTAGACTTTACTTCTCCAAGACAACCTGGTATATCTCAACCACCAAGGATTGACATTGAAATTGAAGATGAAGATTTTAGCAGACAGGATTCCAGGGCTGATCCAAAACCTATGCCTGCAGAAAGATATTCAGTGGCTTTAAGTTAGTTTATTCATATAACTTCTATAATCATGATAATGTTAAAAGAAAGCTTAAAGAATTTAACTTTTTAAGAAAATATTTTATATTACATTACAATTCCTGTTTTGCCCTTTTATCAATTTAATTTTGAACAAGGCATCTTAGGGCTGCCCCTTACACAAATTTTGTAAATATCAAAATGTCCAACATTGAATTAATACTATGGTATGAATCAATTCTTTCAACAAAAAAAAACATCACAAGACACAAGGAAATATTTAAAATGTAACATTACATCTAGATCTCTGTGCTATATTACAAGGTCTCTTTGGTCGGGTTGTTGTCTCTTTGACATATTCCCCATTTCCAATCTCAATTTTATCTGTTATACATGTACATGTATAGGTGTACATTAATATTGAATTTTAAAAAAAGTTCCATTAATCTGACATAATGATACATTTAATATCCAGAAATATTTTGAGGAAACTTTGAGTACACTGTTCTTATTATTTATAAAATTTTTGTTCCATATCAATTTAAATAACAAGTTCACCAGTACCTTAAGATTGTGTGTTAAGATGTGACAAAAGACGATCATGAGATGAACATCATAACATGTACAGTATACCCATATAACTTTTTATCAGACAACAAGAAAAATTCTGAAGATAAGAAAAGGCAGAGAGATGATAGTCAAGTACCAGAGTAAGTTTTATCCTGTATATTTTATAGTTGATTTTCTATGTCAGCAGCAAATATGTTTTGGTATTATACATTTTGTACATTATTCAGTGATAAGCTTTAAATTTTTAGATGAAAAGTCTTAGAAACGAGTTTCATTCCTCTCTCAAAATTTCATAGTTGATCTCTCTGGGTACTCTGGCTCCCTCAATCAATAAAAACTGGCCTCCCAGGGATCTCCATGGATGAAAATTTAACGATGGAGGAACTTTCACCATGAAAAAACCATCTGGACAAAACCCTGCATCTACCGCGTGTCGTGATCGAAAGTATTTCATTCCTCCATTTCTATGTAAGGAATGGTGAACAGACTGATATATTGCTTATTATATTTATTTCATTATAGAATAAGCAATAGTTTCATTGTCATTTGTAACAATTCCAATGTCAAGCCTGCATGGCTCCCCCTTAGTCAAGAATGATCACAAGCTGTCCCGAAGGTTCCCAAGTCGTTTTGTTGCTATTTTGGTAATATTTTGGTAATTGTTAAGGACTTTAAAATTGAGAGGATCTTTTTTTCACTGTCAAATTCAGAAGTCATGGACCGGTATCGACGATTGCGGGGATCGTTTGACAATGGCGGAAGATAATTTAATGATGGCAGTATGCCATCATAAAACAGGTCATTGAGATCCCTGCCTCCATAATAGAGCCATGGCAGTTGAAAGTGACGTCATACACCAACAAACAGACTTTAAATGCTTCTGTAACAAAATGGTAGGGGACATAATAATTTACCCCTGTCCATCTGTCCAACATATGCATAGATACATGTTATGTCCGGCTAACTCCTCAAGTTTTCAAGCTAGATTTTTTATATATTGCTAAGTGTTTGTATACCGGTATATATCTTTAAGGTGTGCAAATTATCAGGATTTTGATTTTCTATAAATTTTTCACAAATTACAAGATTTTGAACTCTGTAACTTTTTGGTGAAATTATGCATGTGGGGTACGTGCCACACGGTTTGACAATAAACTCCTTCTACAGTTTACTAGCTAGATAGTTTTTTATTATGGAGGATGTTATTACATATTTACTAAGGTTGTGAATTTTATGAAGATTTTGATTTTCATCAAACTTTTTGCAAATGACAAGGTGGTGAACTTAGTTATTTCTTTATGAAATTATACATGCAGGATACATGGATTGTCTGGCTAATTCCTCCTACAGTGACCAAGCTATAACTTTTATATCTTATAGAATATTTGAACATATAAGAAAGGTATACATATAACATGTATCTGGATTGTTTTCCTCAAATTTTCTGCAAGTGACAGGAACTTGAAATTAGTCTTTTTTATGCCCAGGTGACAAAAAGTCTTGTACTTTACATTGTTCAGTACATAATGAAGTAAACATTTATTTATGATAGCTTTTCTTGTGAGAAATCAAATTTTTAGTTAGTGCTTTTACATTATTCCCACATACACCAAAAATAGTTGTTAACTTGATATTGCACTTGTAATGTACATTGTGTATTATTGACATTCACATTTATACCTCTTGTTAACTTTGCAAAATGAGTTATTAAGTTTGAAAGAAATGAAATGATAAATTGTCCAGTATAATGGAATATATGAATCATAACTACAGCAGGGTCATCCAGACAACCATTTCAAGTTGTACTTCAACAACACTGTTTACTAAATCTAAAGTTTGCTGTACCTTATTTATTCCTTAGGGAGGGATATTTGTCATTTGCCATTCATAAAAACAATTACTGGACATCAGACTCAATATACAATAATAAAATAATTTTTGAAACTTAGGAACTTTATTATTTATAGAATAAAAGAACCTCCTCTGTATGCAACAGTACAGAAAGATTCTCGTGGTAAAGTTGTGGAAACCAAAACCAATGATAGTCCTCCATACAACTTTAGACAGGCAATGACAGGTATGTTTAAGGTAAAGTTGTGGAAACCAAAACCAATGATAGTCCTCCATACAACTTTAGACAGGCAATGACAGGTATGTTTAAGGTAAGGTTGTGGAAACTAAAACCAATGATAGTCCTCCATACAACTTTAGACAGGCAATGACAGGTATGTTTAAGGTAAAGTTGTGGAAACCAAAACCAATGATAGTCCTCCATACAACTTTAGACAGGCAATGACAGGTATGTTTAAGGTAAAGTTGTGGAAACCAAAACCAATGATAGTCCTCCACACAACTTTAGACAGGCAATGACAGGTATGTTTAAGGTAAAGTTGTGGAAACCAGAACCAATGATAGTCCTCCATACAACTTTAGACAGGCAATGACAGGTATGTTTAAGGTAAGGTTGTGGAAACCAAAACCAATGATAGTCCTCCACACAACTTTAGACAGGCAATGACAGGTATGTTTAAGGTAAGGTTGTGGAAACCAAAACCAATGATAGTCCTCCATACAACTTTAGACAGGCAATGACAGGTATGTTTAAGGTAAGGTTGTGGAAACCAAAACCAATGATAGTCCTCCATACAACTTTAGACAGGCAATGACAGGTATGTTTAAGGTAAGGTTGTGGAAACCAAAACCAATGATAGTCCTCCATACAACTTTAGACAGGCAATGACAGGTATGTTTAAGGTAAAGTTGTGGAAACCAAAACCAATGATAGTCCTCCATACAACTTTAGACAGGCAATGACAGGTATGTTTAAGGTAAAGTTGTGGAAACCAAAACCAATGATAGTCCTACATACAACTTTAGACAGGCAATGACAGGTATGTTTAAGGTAAGGTTGTGGAAACCAAAACCAATGATAGTCCTCCATACAACTTTAGACAGGCAATGACAGGTATGTTTAAGGTAAAGTTGTGGAAACCAGAACCAATGATAGTCCTCCATACAACTTTAGACAGGCAATGACAGGTATGTTTAAGGTAAGGTTGTGGAAACCAAAACCAATGATAGTCCTCCATACAACTTTAGACAGGCAATGACAGGTATGTTTAAGGTAAAGTTGTGGAAACCAAAACCAATGATAGTCCTCCATACAACTTTAGACAGGCAATGACAGGTATGTTTAAGGTAAGGTTGTGGAAACCAAAACCAATGATAGTCCTCCATACAACTTTAGACAGGCAATGACAGGTATGTTTAAGGTAAAGTTGTGGAAACCAAAACCAATGATAGTCCTCCATACAACTTTAGACAGGCAATGACAGGTATGTTTAAGGTAAGGTTGTGGAAACCAAAACCAATGATAGTCCTCCATACAACTTTAGACAGGCAATGACAGGTATGTTTAAGGTAAGGTTGTGGAAACCAGAACCAATGATAGTCCTCCATACAACTTTAGACAGGCAATGACAGGTATGTTTAAGGTAAAGTTGTGGAAACCAAAACCAATGATAGTCCTCCATACAACTTTAGACAGGCAATGACAGGTATGTTTAAGGTAAGGTTGTGGAAACCAAAACCAATGATAGTCCTCCATACAACTTTAGACAGGCAATGACAGGTATGTTTAAGGTAAGGTTGTGGAAACCAAAACCAATGATAGTCCTCCATACAACTTTAGACAGGCAATGACAGGTATGTTTAAGGTAAAGTTGTGGAAACTAAAACCAATGATAGTCCTCCATACAACTTTAGACAGGCAATGACAGGTATGTTTAAGGTAAAGTTGTGGAAACCAAAACCAATGATAGTCCTCCATACAACTTTAGACAGGCAATGACAGGTATGTTTAAGGTAAAGTTGTGGAAACCAAAACCAATGATAGTCCTCCATACAACTTTAGACAGGCAATGACAGGTATGTTTAAGGTAAAGTTGTGGAAACCAAAACCAATGATAGTCCTCCATACAACTTTAGACAGGCAATGACAGGTATGTTTAAGGTAAAGTTGTGGAAACCAAAACCAATGATAGTCCTCCATACAACTTTAGACAGGCAATGACAGGTATGTTTAAGGTAAGGTTGTGAAAACCAAAACCAATGATAGTCCTCCATACAACTTTAGACAGGCAATGACAGGTATGTTTAAGGTAAAGTTGTGGAAACCAAAACCAATGATAGTCCTCCATACAACTTTAGACAGGCAATGACAGGTATGTTTAAGGTAAAGTTGTGGAAACCAAAACCAATGATAGTCCTCCATACAACTTTAGACAGGCAATGACAGGTATGTTTAAGGTAAGGTTGTGAAAACCAAAACCAATGATAGTCCTCCATACAACTTTAGACAGGCAATGACAGGTATGTTTAAGGTAAGGTTGTGGAAACCAAAACCAATGATAGTCCTCCATACAACTTTAGACAGGCAATGACAGGTATGTTTAAGGTAAGGTTGTGGAAACCAAAACCAATGATAGTCCTCCATACAACTTTAGACAGGCAATGACAGGTATGTTTAAGGTAAAGTTGTGGAAACCAAAACCAATGATAGTCCTCCATACAACTTTAGACAGGCAATGACAGGTATGTTTAAGGTAAAGTTGTGGAAACCAAAACCAATGATAGTCCTCCATACAACTTTAGACAGGCAATGACAGGTATGTTTAAGGTAAAGTTGTGGAAACCAAAACCAATGATAGTCCTCCATACAACTTTAGACAGGCAATGACAGGTATGTTTAAGGTAAGGTTGTGGAAACCAAAACCAATGATAGTCCTCCACACAACTTTAGACAGGCAATGACAGGTATGTTTAAGGTAAGGTTGTGGAAACCAAAACCAATGATAGTCCTCCATACAACTTTAGACAGGCAATGACAGGTATGTTTAAGGTAAAGTTGTGGAAACCAAAACCAATGATAGTCCTCCACACAACTTTAGACAGGCAATGACAGGTATGTTTAAGGTAAAGTTGTGGAAACCAAAACCAATGATAGTCCTCCATACAACTTTAGACAGGCAATGACAGGTATGTTTAAGGTAAAGTTGTGGAAACCAAAACCAATGATAGTCCTCCATACAACTTTAGACAGGCAATGACAGGTATGTTTAAGGTAAGGTTGTGGAAACCAAAACCAATGATAGTCCTCCACACAACTTTAGACAGGCAATGACAGGTATGTTTAAGGTAAGGTTGTGGAAACCAAAACCAATGATAGTCCTCCATACAACTTTAGACAGGCAATGACAGGTATGTTTAAGGTAAAGTTGTGGAAACCAAAACCAATGATAGTCCTCCATACAACTTTAGACAGGCAATGACAGGTATGTTTAAGGTAAAGTTGTGGAAACCAAAACCAATGATAGTCCTCCATACAACTTTAGACAGGCAATGACAGGTATGTTTAAGGTAAGGTTGTGGAAACTAAAACCAATGATAGTCCTCCATACAACTTTAGACAGGCAATGACAGGTATGTTTAAGGTAAGGTTGTGGAAACCAAAACCAATGATAGTCCTCCATACAACTTTAGACAGGCAATGACAGGTATGTTTAAGGTAAAGTTGTGGAAACCAAAACCAATGATAGTCCTCCACACAACTTTAGACAGGCAATGACAGGTATGTTTTAATAAAACATTTATAAAATTATTGCATAGGCTTCTGAATTATATCCCTGAATAGATCACAGCTGTTTCTTTCTGCTTGGTGAAATTAAACTGTGCAAACATTATTTTGGTTTATGGTCACTTGCAGAAAGGGCCTTTTTAATTGCAATGATTAAAAGATGTATTTACTCCTTTTGTCTGTCTGTTTGTTTGTCTGTCTTTTTTTTATTTGTCTTTCCAAAGTTATGTGACTTTAATGATAAAAAATCAGAGAGGTTACATTTCAACATTTTAAATAATTCAAGTTTGCTATCATTTTTAAATTTATACACAATACTGGGAGGTAGAAAATGAGGCCATCTTTGATTTTGAAAATATTAATGGCTACTGAAAGGCTATAATACATACTTGCCAACCTCTGACAATGAAAAATCATGTCATGACATATCAAAAAGCGTGTGAAAATGCGTGATGTAGTTGCGGACTTTTTAATATAAACATTATACAAATTTGTTAATATAAAACAACAATATTCTACTGTAAACTTTTATTGCATTCAACTGTGGCCTGTTTTGCTGCTTTTAAAACAACACTACTAGGCAACTATTCAAAATAACTGCCAGTTTGGTTACATTTACATGATAACAAGGCACACAATATATCATTGAGTTCTGATCTGAATTCAGTGTAAATTTCTTTATAATTGAAAATGCTCTCTCACAGTCAGAATTGTTATTTGGCAAAACTAAAATAGCTTTAACGTTTAAATAGCAAGCTTTGAAAGAATATTATATACATGTTATAATGTTTATTTTTGCCATTAAAAATGTCATCTATGTCTGCCATTGCTCCCCACAAATTATATATGTTGCTATTGTCTGGTCAAAACTGGGTAGTTTATCAGAAGACAGCTGGTACTCAGAGAACTGATCCAACAGTTTTGTGATATTCTCTTCCCATATGGCCTGTGGAAATCTGTTGGCTAGATTTGAAACCAAAAAAGAAAAAAAAAATTATAATTTGAATACCATTGAATGCTTTATCAAATTGTACATCCTCTCACACATGTTGTTATGATTGCAAATGATTGATATTATTTGCAGATGATCCAATATAAATATGAGAGTAACATAGGGTGCACAATGCATTGTTCGGCCCTCGATCACTTTCTTTTGATTGATTTTAGAACAGACTCCCAACTTTTTTGGTACGTACACTGTTATCGTTTTCGCTTAGCACTCGGCTCTTAAGACGACAGTACAGGTCCAGAAAGTGACCACTTTCTGCTGGACATTTCCCCAAAGTGAATTTGAGAGAAAGAAGTAACAAAACCTTTTAAAACCTACTTACAAACTTACCTGAAGTAAAGGGCTTTTGTTGTTAGTCCATATCGTAAATAAACAATGGCAACGTAACAATTACTTTGAAATTCTTGGTATTTATCGTCTATTATAATGAAAACACCCGTGAATCGCGATCTAACTAACAACCAAAAAATCAAAACAACGAAAAAGCGTGTAATAGCGTGTAAAGTGGCGAAAAGCGTGTACACGCCATGTGACAAAATCCTGTCGTGTAAACCGTAGAAAAAGCGAGTATTACACGCGAATATCATGTGAGTTGGCAACTATGCTATAATAGTACTAGTGAAATTATTGATATGTTATTTATTGTCATGCAATTTTTTAAGATACAAAACATCTGACAAGACTATTATTATATATTACTTTACCATAATTTTTTAAGTTGTAAATTTTTTGTAAAAAGGAGTAATTATCTCTTTTGGAATGTTTTTATGGAAATAAGATCATTTGTGTATACATCTCTAAATAAATATTGTAGAAAATTTTACCTGCAAGTAGCATTTGTGTAAGCTTATTTAGATTCTTTTATTTATATGAAGGTCCGATTACACCTGATGGTCAGAGGGAACCAGCCAGACCTGGGAAGGACAGGAAAGGAAACCTCTATGATGTAGCAAGGAGTGATGGGAATGAACACCAAAGAAAAGCTACAGTCACAAAAGAAGAAAGCTTCAGAAGTTAGTTTACCTGATTACTCAGATAAGATATTTATCAATGGTTATATGAATAAAAAAAACAAAAAAGTTATACATAGACATGAAATGTTAATAATGCATAACATAAATATTACATAAAAACCCCAAATAGTCAACTAACTAAAAATAAAGAACTCGTAAAAAACTCAAAATACTACATGATAAGAAGATAACATTTTTACTTTCTTACATTTTTAGGGAAGTTTATTTATGAACATAAAATCTCTTTCAATTTACCTTGGTATATAACAAAACTTGACTGAATTACTTCATACCATGAGTTGTGACCTTCTATTTGATAGTTTGTTTATGTTTGCAGTTGCAAATATGAACTTTACAGTCTCCAGAATTGGGAAAATTTGTCAAATTAAAATCTAAAACATTTTATAAGAATGAATAAAACATGGCAAGATTGCTCCTTACCATGTGTTGTTGTACACCTCCTATTTTACATAACAATCAGAATTATTGCAGGATTTCCCAATCAAAAAAGGGACTTTACCATTTTTTCTTTTGTCAAGGCAAGATTTCTAAAGTAGAATGTCAAAAGCATTTGAATTGAACAAAACTTGATTTGCATTTTTTTATTTTATAGATATAAGAAGATGTGGTTTGAGTGCCAATGAGACAACTCTCCATCCAAGTCACAATTTGTAAAAGTAAACCATTATAGGTCAAAGTACGGCCTTCAACACGTAGCCTAGTTCATTTTGTGAGGATTGGATATATATTTTTTTTGAGAGTTAGTTCCTTATTAGCGTTGTCATGTAAAATTGTTTGAGACAGATGTATTGTATAAGAAAATGTAATTGTGTTTTTCGTTACTGTGACAACAGTTTCATCTTAGTGTTTTATAATTTAGCAGATAGAACTTGAAATTTTGTCTGCATGCTTCAAACACCTCTAAACTTTAAATGAATGTTGATGCTTAAACGTATAAATTTTTTCATACAATCATATTTGTATTAGGTGTGAATTCCTGGGATTCAGATGCTGATGAAAAGACCCTACAGGAATTAAGGCAAAATTTTACTGTTGAGAAACAGAGAGAACAAGAAGCTGAATCACTTAAACTTCAACTACAGCAACAAGGTACAAATCTATAAAAAATCTAAACTTTACGATTATTGTTCAATCTTTTTTTGCTGATATATATACTATTAGATATGATAATTAACTTAATATAGACTTCTTCACATGATCTGATAAATCTTCACTGCACACATCATGCAACAGACCTGTGAACATTCAACACATACAGTCATGTCTAAGGGTCTGAAAACCGTCATATTTGTCAGACATGACCTAAAGTGAAACCTGCTTGACCAAAATGGCAGATTGGGATTAAGGTCTGTGTTTTTTAATCAAACTTCTGTAGTGCAATGCTTTTCTGTTTATAAAACTGGCACTCAGGTATAATATGTTATTCTGGATCACCCTCATAATGACATTATATTGATGCCTCCAGGAGATATTCTAACAATTACTTCTTACTATTTGTCTTTGTTCTTCACACCTGACAGGTGTCTTCAACTTATGCCAACATTTGAAAAATATATTCAATACAATATTTTATTAACGTATCACCAAACAAATACATTACACTTTGATTAAAACAAATTACAAATATGTAAAAGCCATTCATATAGAATTACGAGAGACGATTATTTACACATTAGAAACAAATTACTCAAAACATTTAAAACCATAAAAAGAAAAAAGAAATATCTACATGTATATAAAAATCTACAACATCTATCTAATATGTCTCTGCAGGTTTTGGCACACAAACGGATATTGCTTAGTATACTCCACTTAGATTCACAGATAGATTATCTTGACTAGAAAAATTATTAAAACCATCAACATTTAAATTATTAAAACAACTGTTTCTAATATCATCATATAGCTGGCAAAATGAAAGTACATGTTTTTCTTTGTCGATGGAATTTGGACAGCAAAAACAAGTTCGTTCTTGTAGTCTTAAATTCTCATCTCTTCTGGTCTCTATATGGATTGGGGCTACTCCTCATCTAAGGGCTATGCTATTAAAATGTATGTGGGAGGGTAGGAAGGGACTTTCAAAATATCCCTATCACCAAGAACCATTTTTTAGATAATTTTGCAAAATGGTAATAGACGCATACTGAAAAAAGACCCATGACCCACATTCAATAATTAAACTTCCTTTCCTACCTTCCCACATACATTTTAATGGAATAGCCCTAAACTTGGTGTACGCACTTCTGTATGATGTTGGCATGTTCACCTTAAGGTAGTATACAGTCTCAAATGTGTACCTAAATTGCACAAAAAACCATTTAAATTCTGTTTCATCGCCGCATCTAGTAAGTGTTCTACTACTAATATATCAGTGCTTCTAACTACCTCCCTTACTACTATCAAAGAACTTGTTATTAACGTTTGTAATAAAGCTTATGAAAATAATGGTATTAATTATTTTTGGAGTGTTAAAAATTCTTTAGAGGTTTTAGATAAAATACATGCTTTTGATGGTCCTTTTAATTCTGTTGACAGTTATGATTTTTCTACTCTCTATACTACACTTCCACACAATCTTATCAAGAAAAAGTTTTCATATTTAATTAAATGGTCTTTTGAAAAATCTCATTACAAATTTATTTGCTGTAACTCGTTTAAAGCCTTTTTCTGTAACGAAAAAGGAAAGTATGCTAGATACACTTACTGGAAATGTAAAGATATGATTGAAGCTTTAAATTTTCTCCTGGACAACATATATGTACGTTTCGGCGATAGAGTGTATCGACAAGTAGTAGGTATTCCTATGGGCACTAACTGCACCCCTTTAATAGCAGATTTATTCCTGTATTGCTATGAATCTCAGTTTATGACCAAACTCTATAAAGACACGTCATTGTTACATTTGGTTGATACATTCAACAATACCTTCCGTTATCTAGATGATATTTTTTCGTTAAATAATCCAGAGTTCTCCAAATATACTACCAAAATTTACCCAATAGAACTTACTTTAACTAAATCTAACATAAACAGCAGTAGTTGTCCTTTTCTGGATTTGGACATTTCAATCTCTAAAGGAAAACTCAATACGAAAATTTACGACAAAAGAGACCATTTTTCATTCCCTATTGTTAATTTTCCTTTTTTAGACGGTGATGTTCCTTTGGCTCCATCATACGGTGTTTATATATCCCAACTCGTTCGTTATGCCAGTGTGTGTAGTGATGACATAGATTTTAATGAATGTAATCAATGCATCACTGGTAAATTATTAAATCAAGGATTTCATTACCATAAATTACGTAAAACTTTTGCTAAGTTCTTTCATAGATACAAAGATTTGATTAGTAAATTTGGCTGTACTTGTAGAAAACTGATTAAAAACAGTATTTCACATCCTAAATTTTACGGTAATATTGTACTTAAAGCGCGGAAATCACTATGTGATCCATGTAAACTCATCGATCCTTTAAACAAACTTATTAGTAAAGGATATCTTACCAATGTTGTAATTAGATCTTTGAATATAGTTTACATTGGCACTAATATCGATTTTGTCATCAGCAAATTAAAACATAACTAAATTTGTATTTTTTTCAAGCGGGATGTATAAAGACACACCCACATTCGTTTAGATCTATAAAGAGGTTAAACTCCTAAACTATCCTACTGTCTGTCGATACATTTATTTTTGGCTTTGCACTAGTCATGTCTTCTTTGACTGTCCATGACGTTAAAATACTAAATCCCTGGGATGTGTTTTAGTTGATTTTAGTCTCTGATGCATGATTTTTTATTATTAATTGTTTTGGCTTTTAACTAGCTGTCAGTAACTGTGAGTACTCTCAAATTGTACTTTCTTGTTTATTTGACCTGTTGATACTAATTGTATTGCTTTTTTGTTATATAATGTTATTCAGGGTTATATCTGGTCTATATACCAGCTTTGATAAGTGTTTGGTATAACTATAAATTTTCACTTCGTACTATGAACATCAAAATTATTTATTTTGTAAAAATATTTCCTTTCTCTATTGGTACTGTACACGTATACCTAACAACAAAATTATTTTCATTTACCTGTGTTTAAAGTTATTGCAAATGGCTGATATTTTTGTTCGAGCATATTGTTTTTCTTTAATTGTTTAACATTTCTTACCGATATAACATGTTACTTTTATTATTCTTCCCTTAGTTTATTTATTTTGTATTTACATTGTGTCATAGGTCAAATTTATTTGTTCAGTGTATGTTCAATGGTGTTAATATGTCCTTTGATTGAGTTAAGCTATTTCAGTTGATATTTCATAGTGTGTCTTTCTATGTTGTGATGTTACACTATTGTTTCAGAAAAAGGGTGAAGGTTTGGTACCATTAAAACGTTTAAACCCGCTGCATTTGTTTGCACCTGTCCTAAGTCAGGAATCTGATGTTCAGTAGTTGTCGTTTGTTGATGTGGTTCATACGTGTTTCTCGTTTCTCGTTTTTGTCGAGCCTTCGACTTTTGTCGAAAAAGCGAGACATAGCGATCCTACATTCCATCGGCGTCGTTGTCGTCGGCGGCGTCCACAAATATTCAATCTGTGGTTAAAGTTTTTGAAATTTTAATAACTTTCTTAAACTACCCTGGATTTCTACCAAACTTGGACAGAAGCTTGTTTATGATCATAAGATAATATTCAAAAGTAAATTTTGTAAAAAAAAAATTCGATTTTTTCTGTATTTTACTTATAAATGGACTTAGTTTTCTGCCAGGAAACATTACATTCACTCTGTGGTTAAAGTTTTTGAAATTTTAATAACTTTCTTAAACTATCCTGGATTTGTACCAAACTTGGAAAGAAGTTTGTTTGTGATCATAAGATAGTTTCCAGGAGTAAATTTTGTAAAAAAAAAATTCCATTTTTTTCGTATTTTACTTATAAATGGACTTAGTTTTTCTGCCAGTTAACATTACATTCACTCTGTGGTTAAAGTTTTTGAAATTTTAACAACTTTCTTAAACTATCCTGGATTTGTACCAAACTTGGACAGATGCTTGTTTATGATTAAAAGCTAGTATCTAAAAGGAAATTTTGTTAAAATTTTGTTCCATTTTTTCCGTATTTTACTTATAAATGGACTTAGTTTTTCTTCCAGTTAACATTACATAACAGTCTGCATTTTAAGTTTTTATTTTAAAACATTTATTAGATTCATAAACTATCCTGGATTTTTACCAAACTTGGACAGAAGCTACTTACAATTAAAAGATAGTATAGAGAGGAATATTTTTATTAATTTTTTTCCTCATTTTTGTTGAGCCTGTGATTAACAGCAAAAGTAGGCGAGACACTGGGTTCCGCGGAACCCTTACGAATTTTTTTATATAGATTAGACCGTTGGTTTTCCCGTTTGAATGGTTTTACACTAGTAATTTTTGGGGCCCTTTATAGCTTACTGTTCGGTGTGAGCCAAGGCTCCGTGTTGAAGACCGTACTGTGACCTATAATGGTTTACTTTTATAAATTTTGACTTGGATGGAGAGTTGTCTCATTGGCACTCATACCACATCTTCTTATATCTATTAAAACTGTCTGTAATTCGTAGTTTACTTTTGTTTGTTTCCCCTCACAGCGTTATATATATATATTTATATATATTCTACATATGTTTACAAATAAAATACAATGGGTATTGTTATAACAGCTATAGTATGATGACATGGATCGCCCCCCATAATGACATTACATTAATGCCTCCAGGAGATATTTGCTAATGATTGCTAATTACTATTTACCTACGTTCTTCACACATGACAGATGTCTTCAACCTATGCCATCATTTGAAAAATATGTATAATGAACATATGCCTACAAACAAAATACAATAGGTGTTAATAAACTATTGAATTAAATCTGTTATAACAATAATTAATAAAGGTGAAATACAGTCAGTATTTTATATAATAATGATTTATTTTATTAAAGCATTAAAAATTACTCCTTTAAAATTAGAAACAACAGTAAAATCATTTTGTAGTAAAAATATGAAATTTGAAAAAAATAAGACACATATGATACAAAAGAACATTTCTGTATGGTAAAATACTTGCAAAATTTGTTGTTCTAAATATGAAATTGAAAAAAAAAATCAAACATAAATAAAAAAATTTGGAAATGAAAAAGAAAGATAAAGTAAAAACTTTTTATTTGTGAATTTTTTAAAATACAAGATTTGTTCACTTATGAATTGTTTTTCTAAGTCTTCAAGCTAAAATGTGTATTAAATCTGATTCATGTTCTATATTTTAATTTTAATTTTATTTTGAAAAGTTGGTGTATTATTGTATTAGGCTTTTTTTAGTTTTGACAAAGCGCTATAATTTAGAATGATTTCTTCGTCTTAGAAACATAATTTCCTATTAAATCTTACGATGATTTGAAAAATAAAAGTACTCTCATATTTTTGTCAAATAAGTGCTCAATTGCCAAATTCAATTACACAGAGAATTACAATTTGGTTACCATTATCAGTAGCAGCATACTTATTTTAATGTATATAATATGTATGAGCGGTTATAAGACCACATCTGAAATTATCAGATTTGGAAAGGCCAGATATGTACTTTCTGAAAAATATTTTTCTAGAATATATGATATCCGTAACAAATGATATATCCGTTCATCAGACTATTTTAAGCTGCATATATGTATACAGTAGTTTGTATGTAATATACCAAATTTCAATACTTAAAGTACACAGTGATATTTTTTTTTTCTAAAAAGAAATCACTTTTCTTACAGTATGATCAGAGACATATATACATATATGTTTATCTATGTATATTTATGCATATGTCTCTGGTATGATGTAATAGAGAAAATTGTAAAATTGTATTTAATTCACATATCAGTATTTATGAAATATGTAATTTTGTATTTTAGAATACATGAAAATGCTGAATATAGCACTATTGTCATGATTGTAATAAGAGGTAACACACATACAAAAGCACAATCATTTCATAAATACTGAACTGTGAATTAAGTGCACTTCTCAATGTGAAGCAGACTTTATATAGTGCTATATTCATTATTTCCATGCATTTGACGTAATTCAACTTAAAATATCATAAATATTTTCATCATATATTGTATGATATTCACGTGACACTGGTATACATGTATATGTTTATAATCAAAAATGCTTAATTTTCATTGTTATTTTATGTTAATTCCTAATACTAAAGAGATCAGCAACACATAGAGTTGCCTTCATTTTCACTATTACAAGTAACAAAAATAGTTTTGAGTATACTTTAACACCAATTTGAACTGGTTGTAAATTGATAGGCACCTAATTATTTTTATGCCGCCCACGACAAAATGTTGAGGGGCATATTAAATTTGCCCTCGTCTGTCCGTCCGTCTGTCTGGATATAGATACATGGTTTGTCTGGCTATCTTCTCCTACAGTTTTTGTGTTACAGCTTTAATATTTTGTAGGATGTTTCTACACATAATATAGAGGTGTGCATATCCACAGGATTTTGATTTTTTCAAATATTCTCAAAATGCCAGGTTTTTGGACTTAGTCATTTTTTTGTACTAAAAGTCAGAAAGGGGGAAGGGGGATGTTAGATATTCACACAAATTGGTAGTTGGACTTCATTTCCTTCTCACTTGCTATTTAATTAAAACATGGTTTGTACTACTACAGTTTAATGTCCCTAATGCAATAAATATGATTTTTTTAATATTGTCAAATATTTAATTGATTAATACTGGGAAGTTGAACATGGTGACCACTTGAACTTGGCAACCACTTGAAATAGAAAGTTGAACTTGGTGACTACTAAAACTGGAAAGTTGAAACCTTTTGGCTGGACATTCAGTCCTGCAAGTTTAGACATTCAGAATAAAAATAAAAGATAGATCATCATATATAGTGTTAGATTTATAATTTCTTATGGTCAGAAGGGGGCATCATTTGTGTCTTATAAACAGCGTTACAATTTCAAGTTGTACTTCAACATCCCTGTTTGTCAAATCTAAAGTGTGTGGAACTCTACTCATGCATATGGCAGAGCAGAGGGGGCATGGTCCATATCTAGTTTGTTTTTATAACACTTAATCTGTTATATTTTATTCAACCTATGCCAACATTTTTTCATACAATTTTATACCTAAATTTGAAAATGTTGGCATAGGCTGAATGAACCAATCTGTTATCACTTACAATTTATGATTAACTTGAAATTTCTGGTTTTTATTTCGTTTCTCAAAGTTTTAAGTCATTAAAATCATTTCAATTTTAAACCGCTGCATTTCTCAAATCCTTCTTGATCGTTGTAATGTCATGAGGTAAATGCTGTGAAACGGTAAATATAACGTCTTTGATGCTGTAAACTAGTATGGATTCAATAGTTTCAAAAATAGACCCAACTTTCCAGTCATCTCAAAATAACTGAAAATGTGTGAAAAAATCTCCAGATCCTTTGTCATGTCCCTTTATTTAGGAAGAACAAAACAGATCAACTGCATGCAATAATGTAATATGTAAAATTTACAACTGCTCTATAAAAGTAACTTATGAGACCATCATTTTGATAATAAACATTTTTGAAAATCAACATTTGAATAAATGAAAAGTTTTTAGAGTGAGATTATTGTTTTGATAAGAATCGTAGACTTATTCAAACAACATAACTGAACTGTTTCTGTCTGGCCGGTACATGTGTACAGTGTGTTTCAGTCATGCATAGGAATGATATCTTTGTAATCTTGTTGGTATTTGTTATTGAATATATGGTAGCTTTAGCTTTCATTTAAAATTTCATAATATTGAACATGTGTTTTTAGTGGTGCATTATGTTTTTAGATCCATTATACGATGACCCAATGGCTACTAACAGATCTGAACCTACTTGGAAGAGTTTGACCAGTGGTTTTGGTGAAAAGATTGCCAGACTTTCAGGAAGAGGCAAAACATCAAAAAATATAAACAGAAATCAAAATGTAAGTTTTTCATACACCACATTAAGGAAGGGATTTATTTATGCTTGGATTTTTTAAAATTATTAGTCCTCTACCGACGAAGTAAAAGCGAACTTTAGGTTTGCACTCTGTCCGTCTGTTTGTCTGTTCATCTGTCGGTCAGTCCTGCAAATCAGTTTTCCACTCTTTTTTTCTGTGTACTTGAAGATGTTGATTTGATATTTAGTATATAGTTTTATCATGACGGATAACAGATCAATTTTAAATTTTGTTCCGGTCTGATGATTTTGTGCAGAGTTATGGTCCTTGGACTGAAAATTTATGCAAGTAATCAGTTTTCCACTTTTTTTTTGTTGTGATATTGATTTGATATTTGGTATATAGTATAACCATGACAAATTACTGATCAAGTCGAACAGGATGATTATTTTGCAAAGTTATGGTCCTTGAACTTAGAAAATTCATGCAAAGTTATGGTCCTTGAACTTAGAAAATTCATGCAAAGTTATGGTCCTTGAACTTAGAAAATTCACGCAAATAATCAGTTTTCCACTCTTTTTTTCGTCATGCTTGAAGATATTGATTTGAAATTTGGTAAATAGTTTACACCATGACAAGTTAGCATTTTGTTCCAGTAAAATGAATTTTTAATCGGTAGGAGACTATGTATTGCCATGCATTACTCTCAGAATGCTTATTTAGTGATATATGTCAATATTACAGGCATTTACATGAATAATATAAAAAAACTATACATTATCTTATACGAAATACATATGTGCAAAGCTTAGTACTGGTAGAATGGCATGCTTTACAGAGCAATTCTATCCTGTTTCGAGCCGAGCACAAATAAAATTTCTATTTCAAGACAATGCATAGAAGTTTTTATTTATTCTGCAACTCTTACAACTGTTCCAAATGAAATATTTTTGGTTAAACCCCTAAATTTTGGCTTTATTAGGGATGACATAAAAAATTCCCTGACTGTATTTTATTTCAGATCATAAATATAACTCTACAGAAACACATTATCAAGTCACAAACAAGGTATTTTTCTGTCAGTGACTATATATTACAAACGTTTGTAAAGGTGAATGCAATTTGACTGTGCAAATAGCACAGTTGCAGTACAAAGTTGTTTAAACGATAAATACAAATTTAAATGCATTCATCATATAGCTATAGTTTTTAACTAAATACCTTTCTTAAATGTGTTATATTTAAGATAAAGATGAGGGCCTTAAGTTAATAAGACAACAACCTTACGATTCAAGTTAACCTTAAAGACGAACATGTAGAGTACACCAAATGATAGAATTCAAGAGACAAGTGGCCACATCATGTGGCATGATCTAATCACCTAGATTCTAGACAACTTTTTATTTTAGGTATACATTTATTTGAAAATTTGCTTTTAAACATGTCAGGGCTTTTTATAGCTGACTACGGTTTTGCTCATTGTTGAAGACTGTGCTGCGAACCTATAGTTGCTGAAATCCACTTCATTTGGACTTTGTTTGATAGTTGTCTCATTGGCAATCATACCACATCTCCTTTGATTCATATTTACTATATCATATATAAAAAATTAAATCATTTCCCTATAATTTTTAAAGGATGTACCTCAGCAGACAAGACAACGACAAGAGCAACGACCCCAGCAACCAACGCCTAGTGACTTAAGACCTGTAACAACGAAGGCAACACAGGATATCTTCCGTGCTTCAGGGTTGGCAGATAAAGATGAAGTGCCAGAAACCACAGAGGATGATTCAAAAATGTTCCAGTCATATGCTTCTCCCATCTTCCCACCTTATGTGACAAAAGAAGATGAAGGAGCGTAAGTCTTTAATTTTTCAAAATCTATCAACAATTTTAATTTTTTAAGGTTTTCTGCTTTTGTTATTGATGCATGTAAGGTGGTTTAACCAAATATTAAGAACAAACTGTGGGAATTGATTATGTTTTCAGCTCTTCAACTTCAAACTTTATTTGGCCTTCCTGATTTTTTAACTGATGAGTCTTTTGAAGACGAAACATGTGTCTACTGTGCAAAATTTTAATCCTGGTATCTATTATGAGTTTATTTCCTCATCATGCATGATAGTAATGTTAATGGATTAAAGTGCTGATGAATAATATTTCAATCAATAAATATAGCAAAGTTATGCACCAAATTCTGAAACATATCGTGTCTAAACACTAAATTCCATAAAAGAGTTCAAGATATAACTATTTATACAAGAGGCTGAATAGTTTCAGCTAGGTTTCAAGTAAACAACACAGCATGTTGGACTTGGTTGTCAACAACAAAAAAATGGATTGAATCATCATTGATCCCTTCTTAACTGACCCTTCTTACTTTTATATTTTCATGCAAGTTTAACAGAGAAGTTTACCCAATTTTGTTTCCCACTGAACAATTTAAGTCTTAAACCTACAAAAATGAAATTGCTTTCATTAACATTTCTGAAGCAATCACATGCTTTAGTAAAAGATTAGGACTAAGTCCCAGCCTTGAGTCCTGCAAGGAAAAATTATCAACCCCCCATGGACTTCAGACCACTTCTGATGAGGCAGTGAAATCAAGATAAAGCTTATAAATTATATGCAGTTTCTTCAAGCCTTCAATTGGTTGTAATCAATAATGGTAAAATATACATATCATTTAACAATTAATTTATTTTTGGTGATTTTTCCAGGCCTTTAAGCCCAAAAATTTGTTATATATATGTAGGACTCAGAGGTGCGATTGTTATGCTGATGTGTGATGGTCCATTTGTTGATGTGCGATGGTCTATATTACGCGTGATGGTTAGTTTAAAATCTAGGTGTTCTATTATTATGAGAAGTAGACTTTTTAATGGTTAGTATATGAATTTGCAGTTGTTATTGTCTTTGTATGTCCTTAGTTACAGTTGCATGCTAAATGAGAGATCCTCCTCTTTAATTTCTGCATGTTAACATAATTCCACGTTTTTTATATTTACTTGGCTCCTCTCATGGGTTCCTTGTTTTAACGTAATGTTATAAAACAAAGAGTTTGTCTGCAGATCTGTATGTATTTTAAAATTGCCACACTCCATCGCATGTAAAAAAGAACCTTTTGTAGATTGCTATTCTCAACCAATCACTCCCTGTTTCCTGTAGTGTTAAAAGTTTATAAGCCCTCCATTAACTTAAAACCAAAAAACTGCATTTAACAAACAAATTGACTTCTACGTCGACATGAGAAGCATTGAAAATATAATTCATGTAGTTCATTGCACTTCAGTGTTACCACCATTGCTCTTCGGCGTAGTTATCAACAAGATAGTGTCACAATGTTACCATGGTACTTCAGCATGATCAAAAACTCACTTCAAAGTCAAACCATCGCACACAAGCCATAATCTTGCCGGCAAAATGACGATTTAAGTCGCCAAGGAATTTTGAAAATCACTAAAACTCGCCAGCTGACTGACTTAATAGCGAAGTCAAATCACTATCAAAATTGGTATAAGGGAGACAACTTGTAATTTACAAGTCGCACAGGTAAACAAAAATGGCGACCGACAAGGAAAATCAAGATTTTTGAAACGACCCAGGACTAATACTGTCGACGTTTAAATGAAATAAATACAACGACGACTTTTGAACATCCTCGGATTTAACATTCAAAACTATTAAAATGAGAAACTGAGCATCTGTTTGAGTTATCATTTTACGGTAATGTTGATTTGTTTTACTTTTATTTATTACGAGTCGATCAATTGTACTATTCGGTAGGTTAAGTGTTGGAATTAACGGGAGATTTTTTATATTCATTGAATAAAAATTGAAATATAAAAGGTAGAAAGACAGCTAATGGATAAGTTGATTGCAAACATACAACACATGGATATATATGGCCAGCTTTTGATCAGCAGTGGGTTTTTTTTCATGACCAATATGTTAATAAGGGAGATATCTTTTATAACAAAATGATAAAAATTAGCTCTTTATCGGTTAATGAAAATTTGATTGATAAATATCTTCATTTATATATAGGCTTATAATTTTTCTCGCATTTGTCAATTTACAACTGACATGATGTCCTGGACAGTCAATATAAATGTTTTACAAAATTATGACATGTGATATACATTAAATTGCCCAGTCATATAAAAGTCATCACATAAACTGGAAGTCATATTTTTCTGGACTTTAAAAAAAAAAGAATTGAAGCAGATGCACATGAGATTAATGCATGATAATATTACTAGGCAAGCAACCAACTTTATTTAAACTTAATTTCAAGTTGACAGCACAAATGGTATAAATGAAAAAATAACAACTACATTGTCTAAACCTTTTTATTAAGAATTTTCAAATTATACATTTTATACAATATCATATAAAACACTGCAAGTATATTTTTTATTGCATAAATCAAACAAAATCCTTAATGATATGCACGAAAACACTTTGCAAATGAAACGGTAATCGAATTTCACTTCACCAAGAAATTGACCACTTCTCCCTACTCTCTCATGGAAGGAGAAGTCACTACTCCCTCTCCAAAATCCTAGATAAGGCCCTGCGCACATCAGTGTGACCATCACGGTTCAGAGTACCATCACAGTTCAGAGTCCTACATATATAAGGGCTATCAATAGACTATTTTCATATAACCAACTTTTGACTCTGTAGTATATAGTTTTATGACAGGTTACCTATTCTGTGGAAAAAAAACTGTTTTCTGATGATTTTGTCTTGTATAGAAAACATAAAACAGTTAATTTTTCCCTTAGATTACACTGGTAATATCGGTAATATGAAAATAGTCCATTGTAAAATTTCCAAACAAACAAAACCTTCCATTAATTATTTTTCAATAGACAGCTTGCAGTCTTGAACAATGTTGCATTGGAGTGACATGGTTACAATTTTGAACAAATTTATTTCTGTTCATACCTATTAATTTGCTATAAGTTAGTACTATTTTATTTGATACAGAATGAAATTCAGGTAAGGAGGGTTTGGATTTAATTAACAAACAGTGTCATTTAAATTAATAAATAAATCAAAGCTTTTAATCTTTCATTTGAACATGCAATAAAATATATTTTCATTTCTTTTGAAATTGGGGTTTTCACATTTGCTATTTGTATGACTTATATAAATAGATGGGAACTAGTATACCTTGTTCTGCAACAGTACTTACTATTTATAAAGTTTGATGTAAGGTGCATTGGGCACGAAAAAAGTGTTGGAGGTTTGTACATGTGTGGTTTAATGGTATTATATCAAGTTTGGAATTTAAATATATAAGTATTGAAGGTGTTTGTAGTTACGTAGAAGTTGTCCAATTAGAATGTAAACAGTTGCCGCTAAGTTTATAACATGTATGTGCAGGGCAAGGGAGAAATTAAAACAAGTTGTATCTCATCCTCTTTGTTTTGTCCAAAATCATTAAATTTCAATACCCTTACAACATTAAACACACAATTCCCTTTTTAGCTCACCTGGCGGAAAGGGCCAGGTGAGCTTTTCTCATCACTTGGCGTCCGTCGTTGTAGTCTGTTACAAAAATCTTCTCCACTGAAACTACTGGGCCAAATTTTACCAAACTTGGCCACAATCATCATTGGAGTATATAGCTTAAAAAATGTGTCCGATGACCCTGCCTTCCAACCATGATGGCTGACATGGCTAAAAATAGAACATAGGGGTAAAATGCAAGTTTTGTCTATTATTTTGAAAACCGTTATGAATAGAGAAAATCTGACACGAGCAAAGATGTCCAGAATGTTGAGATCTACCAATTTTCCATTTAAGTCAAAACTGTCAGACGATTTCTTATAGGAGTTATTGCCCTTAAATGACAAATTTTACCATTTTTTTCATTTTTGCCTATTATCTTGAAATTATAATGGATAGAGAGAAGCTTCAAATTGCAAAAATGATCAGCAAGACAAGTTCTACAAATAAGTCTCATGGTTGAAATCGTCAGTGGACTCCTTATTAGAGTTATTGCCCTTTGATGAAGTTTTTGCCTTATAACTTGAAAATTATAATAGATAGATAGAAACTTAAATAAGCAAAAATGATCAACAAGACAAGATCTACAATTAAGACAATATGGAGGAAATGGTATGACGACTCCTTATTGGAGTTATTGCCCTTTAATGACGATTTTTACCATTTTTTTTGCGTTATGCCTTATATGATAAAAATTATAATAGATAAATAGACACTTCAAATAATAAAAATGATAAGCAAGGTAAATTCTATTAACAAGTTAAATTTTGCTGATACATGTATTTTTAGTAGACTGTCACTTTTTATAGGAGTGATTGCCCTTAAATGAGGATTTTTTTTTTACCCTCTTTTGTGTTTTGAGCAAAAACTAAAGAAGATAGAGAGAAAGTAAACAGACTCATGTTCAACAATACAAGATCAACAAAAAAGAGTTTTTGTCATGAATGCTATTCTTGTCTACAATGTTAGAGAGTGTCCTTTGTTGAATATGCACATAGACCAAGGTGAGCGACACAGGCTCTTTAGAGCCTCTAGTTATATCTACAATAAATACTAGTAAAACTTTTGTATAGATTTGAGGAAATTGATTCCTTTAGGGTCCTTATATATAATAAGTTTATCATGTATATAGTTATAATTTTTTTTTTTCATTTTTTAAAACCCAAAATCCAAATGATATCTTGAAATGTAAATAAAGGTTTGCATAGAATCCATAAAATTTACATTTTTTTATTAATTTTATATACTGTGAAAAACTTCAAAGAAGTTTATTAAACTCAAAGTGTAGTCATCTGCTGTTTACTTTATCTTTTTTCTTTGTCATAAATACTATAATATTGAGAATAGAAAAGGGGAATGTGTCAAAGAAGCAACAACCTAACCAAAGAGCAGAAAACAGCCCAAGGTCACAAATGGGTCTTCAACACAGCGAGAAATTCCCACACCCGAAGGCAGGCTTCAGCTGTCCCCTAAACAAAAATGTATACTAGTTCAGTGAAAATGGGCATCACACTAAACTCTGAAACATACAAATGAACCAAAATTTAAAAAAAAAAAAAAAACATACAAGACTAACAAAGGCTAGAGGCTCCTGAATATATAGACTGTTAAATGGTCAGTTATAGATATTATTTTTACAAAAATAACATTCATGAGTTTTGCCTTTGATAAAGGAAAATTCAACACGTTGATAGGAATTTTAGTTTTCTTTAAATAAAAGCTGTAATTACTTTGGAAATAAATTATAACCATGAAAATTCTTTTTTCAGCTTTTTATTTTTGTCATAGAGAATAATAAAATAGATGTAGTCTGCTTTGAACAAATGTCTTTGTTTTAAGACTTCACTAAAAAAAAAATTAAATTGGATATAAATTTTCACCATAGCAGCTTCATATTGTTCAGGAGTTAAAAGGGCCTTCAAAAGTAAAAATTCTCCAAAATTGATGCTTTCTGTTTAGCTTTAAGATTATTTGTTTTTTTGTGGGAAAAGGATATGATTGCTTGCTATCTAGCTATATTTTTTTCTTGGAGTTATGCCCCCTTGTTTCTCCCTTTTAAATCTTAAAAAAAGATATATGCCCTGTACATTGCATGATCTAGCCATGAATAAAAAAAGATGTTGTGTATACAGAAATGAGCTATTAAAAACCTGAAAGGCATCTAGTACTTTGGCTTGTTAGCAGTTTAGAAGAAAAGGCTTAACTGTTGGCTAATATTTTTTAAATATTGAAACTCATTTTATTTTTGCCCAAGAAATATACTCAAATATTGCTACAATATATGAATTAATTGATAACATAGATTAGAATTATAAATTAATGTAATGCTCATCATGCATGTCATGTTTGTACTAAATCTATTAATTTGTCTGATTTGCTGTTTTGATGTTGACGTAATGCTACTTTTATTGTAAACTGTTTGTCTAAACTAGCTTTTGTTTAATTTTGGCGATGATGATAGAAAATTTTAGTACATGTGTGAAAAAAAGGTACTGAAAAGTTTGAGACATTTCTCTGCCTTCCTTCACCAATAAAAATTGACCGCCATGATATAGCCAATAGTCCTGAAAGTGGCGTTAAACACCAACAATCAATCAATCAATCAATCAATCTGATGGTTTTTTTTATGAAACCCTGACAACCAAAACTAAAAGTCAAAAAGACAAAAATAACAACAAAGTCAAGATCAGTTAAGAATAATTTCAAATATGCCTTCTTTGTTTTCCAATAATTTTTAGATATTAGACTAGACCATTTTTATAAATGTTTTTAAGGGTGATTTTATCTAGTGACAAATTGTTTTAAAGCCTGCTTTTTCATTTGAAGATTTACATTCGAAAGAGTTTTATTAAACCTTTTTTTTTCATATTTGAAAGATGCTGTGTTTGTATATTAGATGATAGGAGGTTAAAGAAAATCAAGTCATTGATCACTGATATAATAATTATTTTAATCCTGATGTGATTGTGTTTCAGATGGACCTATTATTTTGGCCATAGTAACAACTTACAACAGTATGAAGTAGAAGATGAAGCTGAACAGGCATTCATGCCAAAGATTGCTGAAAAGTAAGTGTAACATATCTGACTTGTTACAGGCATTCATGCCAAAGATTGCTGAAAAGTAAGTGTAACATATCTGACATGTTACAGGCATTCATACCAAAGATTGCTGATAAGTAATTGTAACATATCTGACTTGTTACAGGCATTCATGTCAAAGATTGCTGAAAAGTAAGTGTAACATATCTGACATGTTATATTGATTGAAAATTGATGTTTGCATTGGATTTCCATATGTTTATACCTGAATTTTGAAATTATTTGGATTTTTTTTTACAAATTTATAGAATTTGTGAACTTAAGAATATTGAATACCATATGCATGTTAAAGAAATAAATATAAAGAAGTTCTAAAGGTCTTAACTTGACCAGACACTCTGGCTTCATCCATCAATAAAAACTGACCACCATGAAATGGCCAATTAGTGCTGGAAGTGGTATTAAACACTGAAAATCACTCTTTTTAATCTCAACTTTTTACGTCATCAAATGACTGTCTAATACATGTATATATGTATATCACACAATTATAGTTTTCATGAAGGGGGAATAGCCTCCCCTGACTCACTGCAATATTGAGTGATCTATGATCAAACCATATGATTTTTCTATATATCTTGTATGGCTAAGGATTTGTAAAGGCAATTCAATTTGTCCAATCTCTTTTTTTAAATGAACAAATATGATGTTCAAACAATAAAATATTTTGACTTTAAATAGATTTTTTTGGACTGGTTATATTTTTGTGATTGCTTCAAAAATTTGTCCAAGAAAATTTCAACATGGATATCAAAATCTATCCATTTTCAAAACTTGTCTGTGATTGTGCTAGGTGTATGTCTTCAGTATCATAAATTAATCATTGGATCGAATTGTATAGAACATACTCATTTAAAAAAACATTTGGATAGGGAGGGAAGGGGTATTTACTATAAATTACTTGGGGCAAATGGGGGGATGTTTATATTTTTCACTACAAATAGTATGAAAGTTACATGTCTTGGCTAACGATTTATTCATGGAATAATTTTTTTTTTTCAGATTTGAAAGAATTCTGACAAGAGTTTATCAAGAATTTTTTGGAGTTATCAGAATAATCACCAGTATAGCAATAATATTTCTTGTGGAGACTCTAAACTATGTGTTGAAGTATGTTTTACAACCACTAGTGGTAGGAGTCCTTGGAACAATTGGAGAATTTTTCTTTAAACCTTTGCTTTCTATATTTTTCAATGGATTTGTTCAGCCATTTGGAATTTTCCTGTGGAATGCAGCTGTTAGCTTTAGACATATGTTTGGACCCCTTGGAGATATCCTGCGGAGAGTACTGAAAGAAGTAGCGATGTGCTGTAAATCATTTAAACCTTGTGAGGTACACTGGAAAACAGGACACGAAACAAAATCTGACATTCAAAATGTCTGATCAAAATAATGAATATATACATGATATATGAAGCAGCAGTTCTATTCTAGCAAATTTAAGAAAAATAAAAAAAATAAGTAGAAATATCTTTTATCAGCAATTATTTGATATTATGATACAAGAATATTTCGATCTGTTAGCAATTATTTTAAAGCAGTTTTGTGTTAACCATGTTTACAATTGGATGTTTTATCATTAGATTTCCTTTTAATTCCTGGAAGTTATCTTTTATCATATATAAATAAATCATGGTTTACTTTGCAAATACAAAATTTTGTTTTATGAATTTTTTTATTATAAAATTCTCATTTCAATTTGTTATTTTCAGATTCAAGTTAAAATCAACAAAAGAGTTATATATGAATATAAAATTCATCATCCTCATTATTACATAATATATTTTTTAAGTTTGCAATAATTTTAAGAATGTCTTGGCTACATACTTATGTCGCCTTGAAATTGCTGATTGTTGTCATGAAGTAAGTGTTGTGAATTTGTTTTACTGTAATGACATCAGTCTTGTTATAAGTACTGTGACAGTTTGCAAACTGTTGTGATAAACATACAGTAATCTTTAGTTTTCATTAATGTAGAATTATTATTTATGTATTGCAAACCATTTTTGGAAGGAATTAGATGAAACAAACATGTGAAACTCCAAATTTTAAAATATGTTGAATGTGAAATAATCTCTGTCATGAACATTGCACGAAAAATAAAGACTTTGATGTGAACCTTTTGTGACTGATTCACTGTCTTCCTGTAGATATAAACTCTCTGTTTTACTTGATATTCCCAATTTAGTACACACATTTATGATATAAATGGTTCACAGCTTTTAAAAAAGTATATAACAATCTCCTTAACTTTTAAATGGTGTTTGAATTTTTTGGAAAAATACGGAGCACACAAAATAAGCATTTTAAAATCACAATGCACCTAAAATTAAATAAGCAGAACAGGCTGATCGAGACACCTGTTTTGCACGACTGAATGTCAAATAAAAATGTAAAAACAAGTTGAACGTGCAATAGAAAACGGTGATCACGTTTCACGAAAACAACCCTTTACCACCTCTTTGTAAAAAGGATATATAATAATATTATTAATTCGTATATTTTAATTAATTTGATTCGTTCAGGGATAGTCACATGTTAAACTATATTTTCGAAGGTAAAGGGAAAACGGCAGATAGCAAAAAGCATATTGCACAGCAAAAAGCATATTGCATGGTTATTTTTAGAATATCTAAAAACCGATATACTTTGTGACGTCATGTAATGAATTTCATGATATTGTTAAAAGTTTTATTTAAAAATATCTATGATCGATTATTTGAAGAAAAAAAATCTTCAAATAAATAACATGTAAAAAAAAATATCAAAAAAGTAAATGAAATAACAACTAATCTGTTGTTATTGTCTAGGAGACAATATGATATCTATAAAATTACAACAAAATCAAATGACGATTTTGATACAAATATGGTCGGAAATTAATAATATAATAATTATAGCCTATTTATGAGGTCAATACAGGATATATCGACCCAAAGAAGTATATCGACCTCGGACTTCGTCCTCAGTCAATATACTTCTTTCAGGTCAATATATCCTTGTATCGACCTCCTACAAAGGCTATAATTGTATAATATTCAGTCAGTATTCGTAGAAGATGGTGGAAAGGAATGTCAGAAGTTGACTTTAAAGAACTTAAGACTTTGGCAGTGACAGATATTTGTGGCATAGAAATCTGATTATTTGGATCAGTAACATTGAAACACACATTCATACAGAATATCATTCATTTATTGCTTTATAATGTCTAATGTTTAGACAAATCAACTTTTTTATTATGATAATGTTTTTTTCTTAAAGAAAAATATTGTGAACAAACAATTAAAAAAGTAAAGCCAATAAATGATAAGTATATTTTTGTCAACAGTTCAAAGTTAATCATGTTAATATTTTGTTAAAATTTAATAAAAATTAAACAACCCAAATCTCTTTTACTCAAAGTGTTGGGTACCCCCTTTAAAGACAAATCTCATTTCAGCTTACTTCATTATTGTTAGTTTTAACTGCAATGTAAAAATTATACAAATGCAATGATTATTTTATTTTAAATATTTTTCCTATTTTGCATGACTTATTGTGATAATGTAAATACTGTTGACTTTTTACAATTTACTATGGTTTTTATATTTGTTATATTAATATAACTGATTTTTGTTTTAGAAATCAAAAGTGTTAATTATTTTTAAGAATATAATCAAATTATATGTTTATTTTTTTTTATTTATTTCACAGATTTTATTCATTTTACAATACATTTATATATGAGCACAATATTTTGTGATAAAATAATTTGTTATAGTGAATTAGTAAGTGTTTAAATGAATATAGATTTGCGTGGTCTAGTTAGTGCATTTAACCTTAAATCAGACTGGTAAATAGTGTGGTTTTATTATTATATTCATGGGGTACTAATTTTTGAGGATTTTAGGGTATATGTGAACCACAAATTTAAATATTTAAAAAAAATACAAATTTCCTATAGGCTTGTTTACAAAAAAATCATGTGAATACATTTTTCTGGAATCCAGAAATTTAAACCCCAAAATAATAAATGAATCCACAGTAGTTTAAATACTTTAGGTCAGTTAATATTTATTATTTAATTCAATGGTATAATATAAAAATTAATGAGTATGGCAGACAATTATCATAAACTTTATCTCTGCATTGCATAGAGTTTAATATATTCTCAAATATATTACTACATTTACAGTGGCTTTTAATTCATAAGAAACATTCACCCATCTCCACCCATTGCTCTTTAGTCCTTAACTGGTTGAAACAATATGTTAATTAAACAGGAGAGGTGTTTATTATTATATTGATCTATGTGAAAGTATTTGTTAATTTAATAACTGTAACATTATTAATTTGATCGATTTTCTCATTAGCTAGAAAATTCCATTATTTGCTGTGAATAGTATTTGGCAGATAATTATTTATTATTTAGTTACATGTTCAAGATGACCTTCATGAGTTATTTTATACTCAGATAAGTTCTATCGTAACTGCAACATTATGTTGCTTTCATGCACCTGTTAATGACTTTTTCACAAGAAAATATTATCTTCTTCAAATTTTTTCTGCAAATAATAATTTTTTTATGTATTCAAAACATATTCAGTTTTTTTTTGTTTTTTTACACATATTGCATATATTATCAGTGTTTTGTGGCAGGTATTTACAAATTTAGTTGTACTTAATCCATAGTCAAATACATGATTTTAAAATCAATATTCAATTAAATAGTAATCATTATATCCACAATGCTGAAAGTCTTGTTATTTTTTTATTATTAATTTATTCTAAATGAGTACATCAATATCTTATTGACTGAATTTTTATATTTACTGTATTTTCCTATTGCAATGAATAGCATAATACACATACATCTATGCTTTGTTTTAGTTTGTTGAAATTCATCAATTCACCAAAACAACTTTGTCTGCAAAAACCATTCATCTTTTGATCAGTTGTTGTCCAAGTCTTCAGTACTTTCAGAAAGAAGTAATAGCTTGTAAGAAATGATTAATTGTTTAAGCCAAAAATCAATAAAATGGCTTGATTCAGGTAACTTTACCTTACATTTTGTTTAGATTCATGGGTCAACTTTTTAGTTTTCTAATTGTTTATTAAACCATTGAGAAGATTATTTTTATGCAGGCCAATATAAGTACAATATGAAAACAAAAGTGAAAGGAGACTTCTTTTACATTTATAAAATCCGTCCACACAGCATATTTGTACTTTTATTTTAAAGGAAAAAACAGTATATACACCAATTTTAGATATTTTTGTAATGGATTCGTGAAGTACAATTGTTCTATGTTTACAGATAGGTACTTAATACTTTATTTAAATATTTACTTATCAAAAGTCTTTTGGTAAACACATTTGAAAGTACACAATGTTTTATCTGATCTAATATAAAGTGATGGAATTTTAATAAAAAAATAATTACATAACAGATCTAGAGTAGAGTGAGTTATCTGGAGGACAAAAACATTATATTCTCATCGCAATATCCATTCTTTATCAAAACCCTTAGACCTGAAACCATTCATTAGCTCCATAGTAATCATATTAACTAAAATCTATATAACATGGGAAATTGTAGTATTGAGAAAAGACTGACCATAAAATATTTTTGCATCTTAACCTGTTAGCATAATGAGACTTAGGTTAAATAAGGTATCATTCGAAAAACCATACATTTGATTCCTTTGAAAATACCTTATCTGGCCCTGAAAATAACATTTTGCTCAGATTTCTATCAGATATTTCCCAATTCATCTGTTGATATCTTTTCTGGCCATAAAAATTACATATTGCTCAGATTTCTATCAGATATTTCCTGATTCATCTGTAGATACATTTTCTGGCCATGAAAAGTACATTTTTCTCAGATTTCTATCAGATATTTCCCGATTCTTCTGTAGATACTTTTTCTGGACATGAAAATAACATTTTACTCAGATTTCTGTCAGATATTTCCTGATTTGTCTGTAATTACCTTATCTGGACCTGAAAATTACATATTGCTCAGATTTCTATCAAATATTTCCTGTCTCTAATCAATCAAATATATGAGATCTTGTGATCAGAGTATTTGCATTTATTTTTTTAGTTTATTTTTATGTCCCACTTGGGGGCATTATGTTTTTCCGTATGTGCGTCCGTCGGTTCGTCCGTCTGTCCCGCTTCAGGTTAAAGTTTTTGGTCAAGGTAGTTTTTGATGAAGTTGAAGTCCAATCAACTTGAAACTTAGTTCTAATGTTCCCTATGATATGATCTTTCTAATTTTGATGCCAAATTAAAGTTTTGACCCCAATTTCACGGTCCACTAAACATAGAAAATGACAGTGCGTGTGGGGCATCCGTGTACTATGGACACATTCTTGTTTTATATTATAAAGTATGACAGTGCAAAATATATTATTTATGAATTATTACATTATATATCACATAAGTTTGATTTACAGAATGATTTATGTTAATTTTTCAGTCTGTTTATAAATAAAAATGAATATAAATATATTTTTTCTATTAATTTCTTGCTATACCCATACTGATGATTTTGTAGAGTACCTTAACATGTTTTATTAATGACAGCCCTTTTCCATTGATTGATTTGTTTGTATGCTATGATATTCCAAATCAAGTGTATTTAGGGTTAAATATATGAAATTCATGTTAAGAACTAATTTTAGAGAATGGACTAAATGATAAAAAAAAACTGATATAAATTGGAAAAACATAGCAGGGGTGCTGATATTCAGAATCATTTTCAGATAAAAATAAAAATTCTATTGGTTCAATGAAAGTCCGGACTATAGAGAAAATTTATCATTCAACCACTGACCCTAAATTAAGCACACCATATCGTTAACAAAGAGAAGACTTTTGGATAAGAGAGTTGGGAACAGCCATTCCCTATGGATGCAATGGCAAAATTGATGGTGTAGGTATTTTGTCTAGTCCCAGGTGTAGTTCTGTCAATAAATTACAATTATTTAACACTTCTGCTCGACGAAATAGAAGCTACGGTCACAAAAATTATACATCACCTGACTACAATTAATAGTCTAATATAGTCTGCTTAAAAACCTTTAGGAATTCACCATATCAGAACTAAATTATACTCCATTCCATTATCTAAACTTTATTTACTATTTCAAGAGGCCCAAAATAGTTATTAATTCTAATTCTGTTTTGTAAGGATTAGTTGCAATAATTTTGGACATTGTGAACCATAGACTATTCAAACCCGTATCAAGTACTTTCAAAGATGAGGAAAAACGTAATTTTTTTAGAGTAGAATTCGCCAATAAAGGTTTAGATGCTATCAATATTAGCAATATTTTCCACCATAAATCTGTACAAAAAACTATACCTGATTACTTCAAAAACAAAGCTACACCTGTAATTTCATATACTAACACCAAGCCTATTGCATCTAAGATTTTCAACCACAAGCCAATGAACAACTAAGAGAGTTGTTAGCCAAACGACCAAAATATAGAATTCCCCAGCCCATCACCTGGAAAAAGAACTTCAGGTTACTGATGGATACAGTTAAGGACTATTCCAGAAAATGGGAAAAGCGCGAACCAGATGAACCAGAACTGGACGCTTTCGTCTGAATGGATCAAAGCTATTCGATCATGCATACAGAAGCGCATTCACAATCTAAGATGTACTATGAGCACACGGATTTCTAACCCATTCAGGAACCCAGAGGTTGTGGATGCTTTATCCTGTTTTCATGACAAATATGTCGTTGTTCCAACAGATAAAGCCTCCAATAGTTTTGTCTCCATATGTAAAAACCATTATTTGGAATGTTTCACAAAAGAGCTTGGAACAAACAGCAAAACTGATTATCCTACATATTCTTCAACATCATTTACAAAGGATGAAATTTTAGAAAATCACAAATCTGTCCTTCTTTCTTTTGGTATTAACATCAAAGAAGACGAAGAAAATCTCCCGTCATTATACTGGATACCAAAACTTCACAAAACTCCTTATAAAGAACGATACATAGCTGAATCATCAAGATGTTCGTCTAAACATCTTTCTAAAGTGTTGACTACTGTTCTTTCTACAGTAAAAGATGGCATTCAGAAATATTGTGATGAGATATATCCAACCAGTGGTGTCAATCAGATGTGGATTCTTAAAAATTCTAAAGATCTACTACTAAATCTTAGATCACAATCTCTGCAATTTTGTATCAACATTAAGACCTTTGATTTTTCTACGCTTTACACTACTCTTCCCCATGCTCAATTGAAAGATCGACTTCGCCATCTCATTAAACAGAGCTTTTTCTATAAAAATTGAAATCGTAGATATAACTTTTTTGTTTTGGGTTATAATAATTCTTATTTTGTGAAGAACCACACTAATTCTATCAGAAAATACACTGAAGATGATATTATCAAAATGCTGGACGTTTTGATCGACAATATATATTTGTTGAGTTTGAAGGATTGACATTTCAACAGACAGTCGGTATTCCGATGGATACTAAGTGTGCACCCCAACTGGCTGATTTGTTTTTGTACTCGTATGAAGCAGAATTCATTCAGAACGTTATAATAGACAAAAAAAGCATCTTGCGAAATTCTTTTATTTTACTTTCAGATATATTGATGATGTCCTATCACTGAATAACCCACATTGCAGTCAGTACTTGCATCTCATATATCCCAGTGAACTTGAAATTAAGGATACTACTGATACTAGAAGGACTGCTTCATACTTTGATCTTTTCCTCAATATTGACACAGATGGACGACTTCAGACTAAAATCTATGACAAACGGGATGATTTCAACTTCCCAATTATCTATTATTTCATATTTCTCAGCAGAAACATACCCTCTGCCCCTTCGTATGGTGTTTACATATCTCAATTGATACGATATGCTCGTGCATGTTCATACTATAAGGACTTCATATACAGGAGTGTGCTCCCTACGCAGATACTGCCCCAACAGATTAATGAGGAGGAAAGAGTAAAAATGACACTCCGTAAATTTTATGGACACCATCACGAATTGGTTGATCTATACGATGTGTCTGTGTCTAAACTAACTAACGACATTTTTACCACGTCTTAGTTGTGGTGTACCATCTACGTCGCCCGGGCGTCTTAGTACCGAACATGACCTATTCCCGAATATGACTGGATTGCCGAGTGTGAATTCGCATTGCTATACGACGTGTCTCGGTATTTATATATCCAACATTCATGGATTTAGTTATGATTTTTCTTTTGTAAGACCAGTTTGATATTTTGTTATGTCTTGCGTTCGCTGTTGGAGACGACGTGGTTCGATATTTATATATCCCGCTTTCGAACATTTTGTTGTTACTTTCTTATACGTGTGGGTCTGGTGGGTCATTTTGTGCTGAGTTGTTGTCTGTTTATTTAGTTTGTGGTTTGAACTCTGTATTTTCGGTACATTTCACATGTCTTATTTGTCAGTATAGTCGAGTTACTCGTGGTTCGTCTACAGGGTTGTTGTTTTATGTTTTATGTTTTTTGTTTACTGTTTGGTCTTACATGATCTTGCCGTATATAATAGTTATTTTATTTTTATTGTCTATGTGTATAAAGTAAAATAACAAAAATACCGAACTCCAAGGGAAATTCAAAACGGAAAGTCCTTTATAAAATGGCAAAATCAAAAGCTCAAACACATCTAACGAATGGAAAACTACTGTCATATTCCTGAATTGGTACAGGCATTTCCTTAAGTAGAAAGTGGTGGATTAAACCTGGTTTTATAGATAGCTAAGCCTCTTACTTGTAATACAGTCGCATAGAATTTCATTATATTGACAACAATGTGTGAGCAAAATAAACAGATATAATAGGTAAAAACGTCAAAAATTGGGGTACAGCAGTCATCATTTGTAATATAATTTAGTTTAAACATATTTTATTTGCTAAATATCAGCAAAATGGATGAGACACAAGTAAATCATACTTATGAAGTCTTCTCCATATTACAATAAAAGTATATATACAATAATAACAAAATGAGCATGCATGTAAAGCTAACACATTCATTAAATATTATACGAACTATAAATAAAAAGAAAAAAAGAACAAGAAGAATGGAAAAGGAGGAAAAAAAGAAGCAAATTATATTTTCTGTGATGTTGACTTAGGTTTGATGGTGATGATTATCCGTGCTGGTAGCAATAATATTTTATGAAGGTACTAGAAATCTGTTAGACCTTTTAATAAAATCTTGAACATGTTTGAAAATTAGGAGATTTTGTTCATTCGAAAGTTCAAGATCTCCGCAAGTTAATAGTTAAGTATCAATAATAAAGTTTTTCAGTAAGCCAATTAAGATTGTTAAGTAAAATTTCTCTACATGTAGTGTATTTTGGGCAAACTAAAAGAAAATGATGAACATCCTCAATATCAGACCCACATTGACACGAAGGATCCAGTATAATGTTAGCTTTGAAAAGGTCAGAGTTTAAAAATGAAGCGGAACATCGCAATTGAGTTAAAATAATATTCAGTTTCCTCGGACCGTACATATAATACGGCGCAACTCTACTCTGAACACTTTCATTTTTCAATTCTCTCTTAAATTTAGATATAGAGTCGGTGTTTCGAATTTTTAAGTCAAGCTTATTCCATTCTCGTATTGTGGATGGAATAAAAGATTCAGTGGTAAGGGAAAGTCTACAAAATAGAACAATGATATAATCTTAATCACTATAAAAACAAATAACTGTTTCAACAAAGAAACACAAAATGGCATATAGACAAAGTATGTAAAAGTTAAGATAAAAAATCAGTTACTTCATTTATATGATTTTAAGTTTAAAGCAACTATATATGCACAGCATGTTTTTGTTGATACACAGTTTTGATTTAGAAGACAAACATGGTTAGAACATACTAATAAAAACACCATTACAAACACAATTCCATTTTAATATTCTTGTCATGGTTAGAAAATACACAAAATAACACCATTACAAACTCAATCCCAATTTAATATTCTTGTACGTGCATGCATCCCAGACAACATTTGTATGTTGGTACAATGTTGGCCCAACGTATCTACATGCATTGGCCCAACGTTGTCTTCAAACGTTGGCCCAATGTATAAGTGCAAAGTGGCCCTATGTTGGCCCAACGTGATGGCTAAACGTTGGCACAACGTTGTAAGATTTTATACAATACATTGGACCAACGTTGGTCCAATGATGGAATAATTCTTGCCGATGTTGAACAAACGTAGGGCCAACGTAGTTCTACAAACTGTTAACAAACGTTGGCACTCCGTTGGTTCAATCTGTAAACTTTTCTTTTCATATGAAGGATACTAAAATCCCCTCCAGACAACAACTGCAATAATTCCTGGTTCTTACATCAGTTCAAAATGGCGAAAGTATTACTTTTTTAAATGTTGCAATTATTGCGTTTTACAGATCCACTATACCATGTTGTGTCTTACATACTACCCGAAAATTTTGTATTTTGCCACTTTCTCTCCA